TTCATCATATAAAAAGCGACCGAGTCTCTTAAGAAAATTCGGGCTAAACAGCTCAATTCATATAGATTAGCTTTACGATCTTTTTTATGAACCTTTATGAAGCGTAAAATTGGTAGTTGCGTAACTGTCAACGAAGGGACAGAAACTCTCAGATTTAATCAAAAAGATCATTTGTGTTCCGAAGATGAACGAAAGTCTTACGGGTTTGGAAAAACATGAGGGTGAGTAATCAATGACAGAATGATCATTTTTGGGTGAACTATCCCTTTAAGACTGTTATTTTCCTGTTTATTACATTGAAGCTGCTTTGAAAGACTATTGTATAAAGCACAGTATAGAAAAATGTGACTTGACTCAATCTGAGACATTTGATAATCTTGGATCGTTTGTCCTGAACTTGTAGGCTTTTGGAAAAACTTAAAACAATCTGATAATAAATGAAGACTAAAAGGATCATCAAATCAAGTACATTTTGCAAAGACGGTCAGATGTTCCATTGAAGCACAAGATGCTCTCGAAATGTTATTTTGAACTTGTCACAAAAAAGTGGAATTAAATGCTTATTTTACCATAATTACCAATTCATAAATAATATTAGCTAGCAATTTACAAAATGTTTTAGTTTATTTTAGCTTTAAAAATACTTATTGCACACAAGCTGAAAATCTCAAAAAAATTTCTACAAATAATTATCCAGGTCAATATGCATCCATAGCTAGCAAATTGCATTTGTTTCTATCCACGTTACTTCATGGAGATTAGTGACCCATTTGTGGACATCATATGATAGTGGTATTTCTGTAAATGTGAGGATTTAAAGCCTGTTTAAAAAAATAACAATCTAAATTATCAAGAAGAGTAGGCTACATATCTAGCTCGAGGAGCAGAAAGCAAGCTTTTCTTTAGCTCAAGGTATAGTAATGGCAAGAGAAGCAGGAAACAGGTGCTGAGAACACAAAGCACGTGGAGATGAACGTGGTTAATAATAGTTTTATAAGGGCTTGACAATGGAGGGCTCAGTATATAAAGTTCACTACTGCCAGATAAATGTATAATTCCAACCCGACTGACTGAGCACTAGCGCTGTCGTGAAAGGTTTGATCTCGCAGTGGCTGCTGGCATCATGCGAATTAAAAGCCTGTGTATTATGGAGCTCAAATACACCATATCTGACCAGCTCCTCCTATGACTTTGATGCATCGACTGTTGGAAACTGATAATACAGGCAGTTTGATGAAAACAGCAACAGTTTGCCGTATTATATGTATCAGTGTTATTGTGCTTAGTGTTAAAGAAATGGCGCAGTCGACGAGGCACCTGAAATGAACCAGAAACCATTTGAGGTGGACATTTGTGTACTTAGATGGACACTACAAGAATCTATTCGGGGCCTGAACATCTTTAACGTTAAACCACCAATTTTTTTTACTACCACCACCCCCCTCGTTATTCATGAGCTCCAGGTTTTTACCTCCAGCACACACACCCAACACACATGCATTCACATACACTCTTTCCGGGATCATGATTTGCTTCCATCAGTCTTTGTTCAAATTGCCGCACACATTTATCAAAACCCAAGAAAGAGCAAAGCTAACAACATACAACATGGACATACAAACTCACCCCCATTGTGCAGATTTTATACGACCACCTTGACGCGACTATTGCACTCTAAAATGCTTTAAAGAAGTTAGAGATCAGAAGATGAGATGTGGTCTGTGGTAAAGAATGTTAAAAATGCTAACGAGCGAGCTAGTCTGATATAATACAGGAGCTCGCAGGGTTGGCAGCTTGAAAAACACTCTATATAGGAACTAGCGACGGCTGTTCGCTTTTATTTTTTTCCTGCCAGATTCGCGCCAAGAAGCGGGGACGAAATTTCCGCGCTCTACTCTCCCTTTCTTTATCTCCTTCTCCTTTCCTCCCTCCCTCTCTTCACTCTTTTCTTTCCCTCTCAGCAACACTGGGCATTAGCCGTTGAGTCTTGGGGAAATGACGACATAGGGTTTGGGGTTAAGGGTCAAGCTCTCTCCACATGCTTCCTCATGTTGAAAGGTATTTAGTAACCTAGAGCTGTAAAGATAAATTGTTGTTAATGACAAGTAATTGATATAAATGGCGGTTTTCTTTGATGAATATCGTGAATGCTGTTTTTTTTTGCAACCTAAAACATTCTTTAAAAAATTAGGGGATACAGGATACTTAAAAAGTCACAAAATAAATATTGTGCACAAGTTATATAAACCTTGGTTTTAAATCACATTTGCAAATTATATTGGAATATATATATAATTATATATTAAATCACATCAAGAAGAATGTATTCTGAATAAGCTGTAGAACAGGACAGTTCTGTGACATCATGACTTCACTGTCTTAAGCTATGTTTGCTAATACAACTTGATTTACAAATGGATAATAAAACAAAATAGAAAGTGTCTCTATTTATTGTTGGCATCCATCATCTCTATCCTTTTGTTTCATGTAATACTGGCACTCCAAAACTAAAACTACATCAGTGATGTAGGCCTATTTGTTTCCTTGGAGTCTTTGTAAACTCGAGTGTAACATTTATTACCCTTTGGCAGCAGCCTGTAACTCTCAGGATTTCTTTTTGCCATGGCTTCATTCATAAGGAATTCCATAATCCATATGCCAACTCTGAATCCTTGTTTGTGCTATTTTGTAGTGAAAGTTGCTGTTTTGTGTGATCTATGTGCAAGGTGCATCAGTAAAACAATGCAAGATTGGGTCACAATGAAACATGGTGGCTCTATGTGTGATGATTTTTTTTTTTTTTGGCTCGGAATGGCCACATTGGCTCATAAATGAAATTAATTAGCTTTTAATGTTTATGGATTGTTTTTTTTATAGGAAAAGTTTATTTGGGGTTTGACTGTAGCCTGGGTAACACAGCTCAACACTGTGTTTTTAATAAATGATTATGCATAACTTTTACATAATTGGAACAAATGGAATAAAAAAGAACAAATGGTACCGAATTGTAACAAATGGAACACAATTAGATGCTCATATTAAAATTGTAGAACTTTTGTGCAAAATTTTCTAATTACAAATTATCAGGCACACGACAAAATGCTTGGTATCATATTTATATGATAAATATATTTATTATAATGGAAATTATGTTTTTAGGTGATCCCCCACCTGACCAACATTGTCCTTATTAGGGAATGAAGTATTATCAGAGCCCTATAATGAGCCTACAGTACCTCTTTTGTCCACAAGGTTGCACTAGTTGACAATACAGGGCAGCAACTTAAGTTGCTACTGTGGAGGAACTGCTACTGTGTCTCCACCTTGGAGAATTATCATGGCTTGAACTGCATCGAGTGCGTGTTTAAATACCACTGGTAATTCATTTCAATACATCGAACACTACAGTAAACTTTGAACCTCACACATCTAGGATGGTCTTGACATATCCCTTGCTGAACACCCATTGCTTGTTTATTATAAACAATCCACAGTCATAACTTATAAGGTCGATCCATGTGTTGAATGCAAAGAACGCTACATATCCTTGACCACGCCCCTCCCGCAGATGGGCCGTCACGAAGCCCCGCCCCGAACCTTTTGTTTTCGCGTAATCTGTCTCGCGACGGGGAGAGATGCCATTTTCAGGAGGGGAAACAAGGGAGGGGGTCAGAGAGTTCACCGCTGTTAAAACCACCGTTTCCGTTGCAGCACAACTCACACTGAACCTTAATACATGTTCGATAACCACGATGGAGTGATTTTAATACCTATTAAAATGTTTATAAATCAGCAGATCACGACCTAAAAGGCCATACTATAATGTGGCACGATAACAATGGGCTGTGGCTTCCATGTTATTGCAGAGAGTTCTTGTAAAAAAAAAAATAGGGCAAGAGATGCAAAACTACACCTTCGGGCCTGTGGTTGCGAGCAGAAAACAGCACTGAAAACCTCTTTCTCTGACTAGTGTGCATGTGCGCGCGCGCACGCCCGCGTGGGGGGTGGTGAGGGGAGTGCAAGAAGAGGAGGAATAGAGAGAGGGGGAGGGGAGGAAAGAGGAACTCAGAGGTGATGAGGATGGAGGAAGTCTAACAGAGAGGAAGAGGAGAGAGAGAGAGATAGAGAGACAAGAAAGGAGAGATCATCATAAAGGGACAACTAAGGTGAGTTAGAGAAAATGGAGATGGTTCTTTTGCACAGTACTGGCAGGCATGAAGAAGGGGAGGGAGGAGATGGTTGGAGAGAGAAACACATAGACAGAGAGGGAATGGCTGGGAGGGGTCTTGTGCCACAAGTGCTGGTATGTCTGTCTCTGTTCTTGTCTGCAAAAAACACAGAGAAAGAGTATCAATGTATACGGGTGTACAAGGAAGGATCTGTCCATCACTTGGGGCCTGCTGGCAGATAGTGTCAAGAGGGGTTGTTCAAGACCAGTTTGAATCCAGTCTTTAATCTTTATTCTGTCAGTATTAGAGTTGTGTCTAGATATCAAGTTTATTCTCACCTGTAATACCTTCAGGTTATGTTTAATTATTGTAGACCAGGGTCCATGGTTTACAGTGTAAATTATATTGATTTCTTTAGGACTCAGTCACCCTTTATCAACTGGATGTTGTAAAATAACTATATATGAAGCCTAATACACGATATCCATCATAAAATGCTCATTATTAAGGTAAATGGGCAAGTTCTAGGCTTTTTTCCCCTTTCCTGCATACATTAGTGAAGGGTCTAGGCAGCCTCAGCACTGCAATGCACAGCTGACGGATCCCTCCGCACACACAGCAGGAAGTAGTTCCGTCTGATTTAATGTGGGAGCACCGCAGGTAAAGCACACAGTAATGATCGGTATTGAGCTCGTTTCATGAAGAGAGTTGACAGATATGTTCTAAATATGTTTAAATATAAACACAGGCACAATTAACGTCTGAATAACGGCTTTCTACGACGCGAGGGTTTCATGAAACATTTTATTTTTAATATTGCGCGTTTCTGAACTGCGAGGGTCAGATTAACTCACGGAACGAGCCTTTACATTGTCCGAAGCACTTGTTATGAATTTGATGCCGGTTAAAGGGACTATGTAATTGACATGGAAGTTAGTTGGGGAGAGGCGAACATAGCGGAAGGTTTTCTCGGTTGTGAGGAGTTCGGTCTCCCCGGCACATACACACGGATAGGATCCGTATGCGACCGATGCAATGAACTGGAGAGAATGAGAAACGTGCGAAAATCCACTGAAGCTTTAATGTAGTTGAATAGTACCAAACGTACGTATTGCTGATGTTTTACAGCACTTATTTCTTGCTTAATAAGTTTGAATAGGAGAGAAAGAAAGAAACCAAGCCAGGTAGTGAACTGCTATTCGGACTGGCAACTAACGTTATAAGGCAAATGTTCAGCGACAGCTAGCCATCAACTGGAATAGGGACATAAGCGTGGCTCTACACAAAAGGACCCAGGCTTGAGTAAGCGACTGTGCGAAAAGTGAGGTGAGGGGAAAGATGCTTGTTTTCCTTTTCTGTACTTTTTAAGTTTGAATGATGCATTATCATTACCCGAGCAAAATCCGTGCGCGTTTACTCAGAGAAATGTTTAAATGAACAAGGAACGGATGATTGGATGGTGGTCGGAGTGATGCGACCTCTCGGAGTTTAAGGGGGCAATCGATAACTGTTTTCAGCTGAAACGCTATTAAGAGTTGATTGGATACTTTGTTATGCGAGGGACAGTTCAGTGCCACATAACTGAGTGTTTTGGGCTTATCTGAAGAGCACGTTTAAATTCACACTGAGCCGGACGGCAACTTCAATCAATAGAGACACTGGCCGTGACGTCACACACTCTATTCAACGCTTAATTTTATGACACATAACAATTTTTTTTACTTAGCAAGTGCGAACGAATATTTAATCCTATTTAGGCTTTTGATGACGCGTAAAATAATGTATTATGCCCAATTATGTAATTGATTGCGCTAGTACTTCATCTCGCAAATGCATCTTTTGTGTCCACTTGTATAGGCTAGCCTAGATTAGAGACATTTTAACTTTTTTTTTTTTGGATGTTGTTTTGGATGCTCAAAATCACAATTCAAACAGCCTCTTGAGTTATAATTTATGAAAATAGCGAGAGTTGGCTATCACAATGGCAGTAGCTTTAAGAAAATAATTCTTTGGTCATTGTTTACGATTAAAGGATATCTGTTGTTCTGGAACTGTTCATGTAGGCTACGTTACATTTTTGTAAAATGATAAATGCCAGCTCTACTGTTCACTCCTAGTTAGTTTTCTGGAAGCATTCGCGAAACAAAGACTTCTGGTCCACCGAGTCAAAGTCATATTTATTGGCGTTGAAATAAATTAAACTTATCTCAATTCGTTACAAATTTAGAAACATTTTACTAAAGTGTATATCCCGCGCTTTGTGGTTTGATACATCAGCCAGGCGAAATTAACTCTATCACCTGCCGCTCAAAACACCGCCAAGAGCATTTAAACCTCCACAACATCTTTCTCTATCTCTTGAGCAAGACTTCATTTCCATAAAGTCAGATATACTTCAGTTGTTTATACTAATTGGAGGCTAATTTGATTTTATCACCACATTTCATGACTGCGGCTGTTCACAGAAAGAAAATACGTGTGTATAATCATGTGACCGTTGGGAAAATGTTACTTGAGGAAGTCAATAAAGAAACCAAAGATTCGCCAGTGTGAGGAACCTCATGTGGTGATTCAACCGACTAGCTATCTTACCTCCTTATGCTGGTTGTCTGTTTTGTTATAATTTTGCTGTTAAGACAAAACATTTTTTACAGCAATATGTCTTATGAATAAAAACAGATCAAATTCTTTCCAAGAAGCATAACATCTTACCTCCTTATGCTGGTTGTCGGTTTTGTTTTAATATTGCTGTGAAGACACTTTTTTTTCTTTTTTTTTACAGCAATATGTCTTATGAATAAAAATAGATCAAATTCTTTCCAAGAAGCATAACTTATTATATTAGTCAATTAGAATTAGTTACCATCAAATATGCTGCTAGATTAAAGGCATAATTTATATAGGCCTACAGTATTTAAAATTATCATTCATCGTTTACTAATGCTTCTGTTGTTCTAAACCAGCCTGGCCTTCTTCTGTGGAACACAAAATATTGTATTTTGAAAAATGTCTATTTTGTCCATTCAGTTAGTTATTAGGGCTCAATGTTGTCAATGACTGTCATTGTATGGGCAAAAACTGTTAATGTTTGGAAAGACGTGAGGTGAGTAAATGAGGACAGAATTTTCAGTTTTTTTGGTGAACTATCCCTTTAAGACTTTGAAAACAAAGGCCCCAATGCTGATTGTTTTGAACTCTTTCTCTCTCTTTCTCTCTTTTCTCTCTCTCTCTCTCTCTCTCTCTCTCTCTCTCTCTCTCTCTCTCTCTCTCTCTCTCTCTCTCTCTCTCTCTCTCTCTCTCTCTCTCTCTCTCTCTCTCTCTCTCTCTCTCTCTCTCTCTCTCTCTCAGCCATGCCATCAGTGATGGAGCGATCAGGGTCTGGTGTGCTGTCCCGAAGCAGGGCCAAAACAGTCACAAACGGGAACAGCCACCACTCAGAGGAAGAGAGCAGCGATGAGGAACACACACATGGTGTGTCTGACACATTCACACACAAACCCAGCAACACCAAGCCACCATCTGCACCTTTATTCCCTTACATGTTAGAATAGTTTCAATCCTAAATTGTTTATGTGTAAAATGTTTCAATGTATCAGTGTCTGTATGTGTATTCGGTCAAGCATCCCTATTCTCTTTTCCTCCTCTCCCTCCACCCACTTTTCTCCCTCTGCCGTCTGTGAGGATGCACTGCCTGTTTTTAACTCTGCCTGCCTGAATGTGCCTGTGTTTTTTCTTCTTCTCCCTGACCGTCCTTTTTGCTCTTGCTCTTTTAAAACAGACAGTATGATCCGCGTTGGTGGGGACTACCAGGCACAGATCCCAGAGTTTAAACCAGGTAAAGAGGAAGATGGGAGTTAATCTCAGAAGAGATGAATATATCTCTGAACTCCATGCATTTTTCAGTCTGCATGAGCATGATAAGATAAAGGGCTGTGTGTAGGTGTTTCTGTGTGCACTCAAGTTATGGGGAGTAGGAGAGAACACAGCTATAGTCTTTGAGTGTGTATATATTATATATATATATATATATATATATATATATATAAACTAAACAAAAAAAACAGCAGAGAGGCATAGAGAAGTGAAAAAACAAGGTTGTGTGAGGAGGAAACGATTGCTGAGGTATTTGAGAGAGGCTGCTGTGCCGTGTGACAGACATGTTTGTTCTTTGTGTTGACAGACTGTGCATCCCGCTATAGTGAGAATGAACAGAGGAGCATGCTGGTCTGGTCACCAAACAGCCAAGTGTCCGATGCCATGTGTAAGGAACAATTATTCACATATAAAAAGGTCTAAAAACAGCTGAGAGTTTGACTCATTGATGGAGTGCTTTAGAAAAGGAAAGAAACTACTCTTATTCTAGAAAAGAAGCCAGTATACTGTGCCGTTGTATATTGATGCAATGTGTATTTTTTCACAAGATTGCATTGATGTTTTAAGTTTTCTCGATATTCTAGATGCAAAAAGTCCTGCAGATTGAAATGCCTTGTTCTTGAAACTACCTTTAAATTGTGAATCACAATAATCCATTTAAAATGTTGAAATGAATCATGATTCATTAAGATAATGTGCGATATTTAAATGCTTTTCTTTATTTGCATATATGTATAACTAAAAGTAGTTAAATTATGTTGTGTTGTGATATTTGGGTTTGGTCAAAGTAACTGTCTACACACTCTGTTTTCATTCTGCTCTTCATTGTTTTTTTTTTAAACATGTTTCTTTTGAGGTCTAGTGTCGTTTGTATTTCTTTTTTTCTTGCCTAAGAAATATTAAATATTTAAAGAATCCTATAAATGTATTTAAAAAAAAAACACTGAATCAAATTGTTAATTGGATCGTATCTTTTATCAAATCCAATTGATTTGTTTTGAACTTTGAATCAAATTGAAACCCATTATTTTGAATTGATTCACCGTCAATCCAAAGATTCACTGCCCTTCTATTTATGTTTATTTAAATTCTTTGTTTTCTATTATGCTATTGTGATGCCTTTCAATGTATTTATATTGTAGGTACCATCATTGTGTGTATTGATAGGTCGTTAGCAATTCCCATTCCTTGGTACACAGTCACCAAATCTGCCATTTTGGATTGTAAAGAAACTTTATTTTCCATTCTCTCACTCGCAGTGGATGAATATATTCTGATGGCCAAAGAGAAGCACGGATACAACATGGAACAGGTACCATTCCACTTAAATGTTAGGCATGATGGGGAATTCCTCTAGATGGACGCATAGATGACTGTTACAGTGCTTCTGTCTTATATCAACAGGCTCTTGGCATGCTTCTGTGGCACAAGCATGATGTGGAGAAGTCACTGGCTGACCTGGCTAACTTCACTCCCTTTCCTGATGAGTGGACAGTGGAAGACAAAGTTCTGTTTGAACAGGCTTTCAGCTTTCATGGCAAGAGCTTCCATCGCATCCAACAGATGGTGAGCGGGAGGGATGGAGGCAAGATGGGTTATATAAGAGTCATCTGCTGCTCTCACATCTGCCTGCAACTACAGAAGAGCAGGCATCTTGAGATACGGCCCAATGTAGAATCACTCATCCATGTAAAGAGTCATAGAGAGGTCTCACTTTAACACTTTGAGCTGTTGTCTTGTATTGAGACCAACCTGTTGTAATGTCATCCGTTGAAATGTTTTAAGAAAGTTCCAAAAACATCTGACATTGAGTTCACATGCTCAATGTTACAAATTTGATTCAGGACATTTCAGAGTATTAATCAGTTTGTTTGTTTTTCAGCTTCCAGACAAGCTGATCTCAAGCCTGGTTAAGTACTACTATTCCTGGAAGAAAACTAGAACCCGAACAAGTGTAATGGACCGCCAAGCACGCAAGCTCCTCAGCAAGAGAGAAAAGGATGAGAGGTAAAAGGAGAGCAAAAGAGAGAAAGATGGAGAGAAATGACAATGAATCATAACGCTTGGGGCTCTCAGACATGCACGGTTACAAAGTGTGTATTTTTGTTCCTGCCAGTAATGATGAGGTAGAGGAAGGAGAACCAGGCAGTGACAGTGATTTTGATATCAACGCCAAGAAAGAGGTGAGCCTATGGTGTAACAGATAACTAGACTCAATGGCATCTAACGGAACTTAAAACTTTTCTTCCCTATTAGCTTCTCGAACAAGAAAAAATGCGGGACTTGATTTTGTCTATTGATAATTGATTGAATGGTTGTGGTTAGCTATTGCTGTGATGTCATGTGAGTGACAGGTTGTAAAAACATCATCAGAAGAGAAGAGATGATGAAAGTGATTCTAATTAAAGATTGCAAGGGCACACTAATTATTTTTTAAATAATAAATTATTTATGATAAATACTGCAAAATTTCATAAAAAATAAGAATTGTCAACTTTGATTTCATCATGATAACTTTAAACTAACACATTTAGCTAATTCTTTCATAATTAAACATACAGCTTTTAATTCTATATTAATTTAGTGACTAAATGGAATATTTGTACTTATAAAAATCAGTGGTCAGGGACTAGTGAAAGCAAAAAGTTGTTTCAAAATTATTGCAAAAAAATGACCAGTGATACACAGGACCTAAAGATACACATTTTCCTTCAGACATTCATAAGAATTTGACCTTAAAATCTTAATTTAAAAGAAGACTGCATGTGTGCTGCTTTTCAGGCTGCAAAGCTGAACTCTGGAAATGGAGGAGGGAGTGATAAAGTTTCAAGCAAGTCTGTTCCGACTCGGAAAGAGAACCAGGGTGCGCAGTACCGACACCACCCTCTTCGTGCTCGCCGTAGGCCTCCTAAAGGCATGTACCTGGAACAGGAGGACATCGTCACCCTCTCTGCGTCCACTGATTCAGGAACTGTTTCTATCAGACAGCTGGACACACAACTAGTGTCACTTAAGAGACAGGTAATGTGCATGGAAACACACTTTCAGTATCGAATCACAATGTTTTGGTAGTGTTTGTAAGATTTTTAAAGAAATTAATACTTTTAACCAGCCAGGATGTGTTAAATTGATCAAAAGTGACATTTCTATTTCAAATAAATGCTGGTCTTTTGAAATTTCTATTCATCAAAGAATCCTGAAAAAATGTGTTATGGTTACTAAAAAAAATATTAAGCAGCAAAACCTGTTTTTAACATTGATGATAATAAGAAATGTTCAATGAAGAAATGTGATCACCTCTCAGAACATTTTTGGCTCTCTTGTTTTGTTTTTAGGTCCAAAGTATCAAGCAAACCAACAGCGTTCTCAAGCACAACTTGGGTGATGAAATTGAAGGCATGAGACCTTCAGAGGTAAGTTTTCATCTCCATTGCTCTGATACACAAACCACACACATTTGTCATTCACACTACATTGAAAAATTGGAACTGCAGTATATTGTGGTATACATGTAAAAGTTAAAAAGCAAGGCACAATATTAAATGCCATTTAATGTATTTTGAGAGTGTGAATGTAGATACTGATCAAAATGCCATAGTTCTGCTACATTATACCCCTAATTTTTCTGCATGCTCTGCATTTCCTTCAGCCCTCTCAAAAAATCAACACTCGCTGGACGACGGAGGAGCAGCTCCTGGCTGTTCAAGGTGAGCTGGAATATCTCTAATTCCTGATATCCATAAATTAAAGATCAGATCTCAAAATGAATATCCATATTTCATATCGTACATTATAATGATGTGATGCCTGAATTCACCACTGATTTTAGTTTGAAGTGTTATTTATTTAGACAAAATCGAGTAGAATTTTTATATATTTTTATTGGTTATCAGCCAGAGCTTTAAATTAATGCATCCATAGTTAAAAATAAAATAAAAGAATGCTTCTGTAATTCCTGGTTTGAGAGCAGAGAAGATCCTCCCAAAAGATCACTTGTTTACTTGCATATATATATATATTGAAAACATCAAAAAGTAGCTAAATCCAGCTAAGCTAAGACTTAACTTGCTAAAATGTATGTTACAACTAATACCTGTCCTAAAAGTGTGGTAAACATTACTAGTGTTCATAATACCCAAACTGATGGTCTCATGCCAAATTAGGTAGTTCCTATTCACCTCGGAGAAACACTTTGTAATCTTTCATGACACTTTACAGTAATTAAGTCGACATGAAATTAAAATGCTCTTTTCTTGTTTTTGTTATGTAATATTGAAGTATTTATTGTCAATTATTTATCTGTGGGCACAATTTCTGGTTTGTGCCAACTTTAAGAAGTGTCATTGCGCGAGTGCATCCAAAGCTATTACTTTCAAAGTATTAAATGACATTTTAAATCAAGATGTCAGAGGATTTGCAAGTAGGAGATACTACAGATTGAATGCATAATATTGTTTCATTTTAAGCATTGCTGTGAACAGATTTATCATGTAGCTATTTTCCATCCACATGCTCTCCAGCTATTAGGCGATACGGTAAAGACTTTGCAGCCATAGCGGACGTGATTGGCAACAAGACGTCAGCGCAGGTCAGCTCGTTCTTCGTCAGCTACCGGAGACGCTTCAATCTTGAGGAGGTGCTACGTGAATGGCAGGCAGAACAGGAAGTGGTGCAAGGGAGCAGCGGGAGGACTGTGAACACGGAGCTAAATGGGTCGGCAGGAGCGGAAGATGATGAGGTAAGAGAGATTTTGAGTTGTGTAATAGGTGGAATAGGACTTGTTTCAGCAGGCAGGGCTTTTATCTTCGAGATAAAGAACAGTTAACAACAACCGAGGAATTCATTTTCTCTTTTCTATCTTTCTTTGTTATTATAGGTGAAGATGGACGGCATCTCTCCGCCTCACTCTGACAGTCTGTTGCCCTCTTCAGATGCTAGTGTTGGTGGGAACCCCAACTCTGCCCAGCCATCCCCACCCCTCACTCAACCTCCACCCTTACTGCGGCCGGCACCCCCCTCAGCGCCCCCTAGCCTGCTGCGCCAGCCTCCCCCGCTACAGACGCGACCTCTACAAAACCGGACGCCCCACAATCACCCTCCCCCTCCCCCTCCGCTCATCAGACCTGCGGTGGCATCCTCGCTCCACCAGGGGGCACTGAGGAACTCTCTAAGTTCCTCCTCTGCCTCTGCTGGACAGCTGCCGCCCTCACTGGTGGGGCTGAAGGTGGAATCCCCCCAGTCACACTGATGCCATGGAACATTTGCCTTTTTATAATGGTTTTTAGGAGACCTAATTTGGTCTCAAATCAGTGTAAAAGGGCAATGTAGTAATGCCTCTCAAGAGAAATATGAAAAGAAAAAAAAACCCAGAGGTGAACTGGAAGCAAAGCTGGACATGCACCAAAACACGTTTAGCAATTCAGGAAGGATGAAACACACAGTGTGATCTGCTTCTTCACTTCAGGACCGAGAAGAATCCTCCATATAAATGCATATAAACCCCCAGTCTTGCCAAAAAACAAACCCCACGAACCCATCTGTCCTCAGGTCCTACAGCTATACCTCGTGAACAGTTTCAAGCACAACTGCTTCCACTGTAACTACAGCTATTGAAACACCATCTGTCATAAAAAGCTCAGCGGAAGCTGGAAGTTTAACCAAAATTGTGGGGTAAAACCTTATACACTGGAATTAAAAACTGCCACGACAACAGACTCAGTTGTTCCTTCCACCATCTCTATGGCAACAGCTGCACATCACCTAGTGTGCATGACTACAGGCACTGCCGAGTGTTGTGAAGTACACCTGGTGTCAGGAAACTCACTCTGCCATTGAAGAGCCATGCTGATAGAATCGTCCTGGGTGAAGCGTTTTTGTCGTTTGTATAATTAGGTCCTTGAGATAATGTTAGGTAGTGAATTTATGTAGTAATAGTAAATATTGACTAAGCACTAAGTGATGCAAAATACTTGATTTTTTTTTGTTGCAACTCTGAAATACACTGATTTCATCTCGCTCTTAAAGGCACAAACACAGAAGCATCAAAACACTAAAGATGATTCCCGAGGAAGCTCGTACGAGAGTACTCGTCTCTTCCAAAATGTTGTATGTATGTGAGAACTGTTTACATATGAACTGGATTTGCTTGTGACTATTTTTGTTTTAGATTTTTTTTTTTTTTCAGAATAAAGTGAAAATGACCAGACGAGTTTGTTGTTACTCTATGTAAACTACAGCTATTTTATACAAGACCCTAAAATACACATGCACTAATAGGTGATGATACACATTATCCTTAATCGGGTTCCAAACAGGTGCGAATGTGACACATTTTTAGTAATTTTTCACAGAAATATGAGGCAACATGATGCTTTCCGCAGGCGATCAGAACAGGTTTCCAAATGGGTCTGGGGGCCACAAGGAGGTCCCACTAGATTCGTTTTTCAGCTGTCTAAAGTTAACATGTAGACTTAAGATAAGGAATAAGCAATACTTTTTTAACACATGAACAAAATTAATATGATTTCATTTTGTTTTCTAAAGATATAAATCATAAGATGGATCGTGATTATTTTGTCGTTGACAGCCATAGTTCAACAGTCAGAAAAAAAACTAAACAAATCTGCATTGTTCTGTGAATAACCGTATTTGACCCATGATGTGTGAATGGAATCGTACTGGATAACGTCACACACGCGTGTCTAGAGAGTGTTTTCGGTGTGGTTTCAGTAACTTACAGAGTCTGAGATGGCAGGTTTTAGAACCAGTCACTGCCTTCCTTCGGAGCTGTTCCCGCCAGTTTTTATTTGTGGTCTGCGCGCGACTCAATGCTCCGCTCTCCATTCAGGTAGGAGGCTACGTAAACGCAGTTGTCCGTTAATCAAGATTTTACAGACTTTCTAGTGTTATACAAATCTGTATTCATAAAACTTTTTTTTTACCTGACTCTTTGCTGTTTTTTAGTGTCCATTTTTGACAAATTGCGTGGGAAACAACATTTGACTACTAAAACCATTGTAGGCAAAAAAATTGTACAGCCTTTCCAAAACACATCTATGTGTGGAAACTTTGCATGCACATTCATGCACTATAAAATAGTCAAAACATTTTAAAAAGTAAGTAGTTTTACCAGTGTTTAAAGAAGTTTAAATGTGGGTCAAACTTACGTCGTACCTTCTTTCGTGGGTTAGGTTTAAAATATCAATAATATTTTAGTTTCTTATGGCTTTAGTACAGTGATTATAAAAAGCCAACAATAAAATCTTAATGTTTCTTATACAGTAATTTTTCCTTCTATATGAAAAAATACAGCTGCCTTTAGTTTTAGTCTAGAACTTAATATTCTAGAACTTCTAGAAGTGGTCTCTCAAAAGGGGATCATCATACATGGGGATCTCCAACATTTTTGGAAACCCCTGGTTTAGGACAAAAACCCCTCAGATTTAAAGTAGATTTATCATGGGATTTATCACAGACAGCTTGATTTTAATAGTTTTATTACTATCATTGATCATAATCATCTTTGCACAAAAAAAAAACATTTGGTGTATTTCTATGTGAACCCTCCTATCCCGACAGCAAAGAGTCTGAACACAAATAATAAAATTACAGCAACGAAAAACTTGTGAATAAAAATATCAACCCTGAAAAATAAACAATACTTAATATAATTGGATCCCCAGCACCTTGAACAAATGATCAGTTGTGAGAACAGCAAAGTACATGACAAAAAAGAAAAAAGAAAATCATTATTTTCTATGAAGATTTAAAACACACATGTGCACAGATCTGATCCCAACCCCCCCCCTCCTCTTTACACAACAAGAGGTGACGGTGCACCCCATGTCAACTAGAGGATGCATGCAAGCATGTACAGCTCAGCAGAAATGGATGGAAACACACTGTGTTCTAGCTTGTTGCCAGTGTACTCTTTTGCTCTTTTTTTTACGCAGACACATCTGCAGGTTGGTTCCTGTCTGCTCTAATTACTGATCTGCTTGTGCGATAATGACATCTGAACTGATTTCAATAGTGAAAATGATAATGCCAACAAAATATTGGAATTAACAGAACACCAATATTTGACTCTCCATGGCAGGTACTTGTGGTCTCAAGGCTACGTATTAATAGTCTCTGCATTGAATATGAAACGATGCAAGCCTTTTGGTTATTCAGATATGACACTCCATCATCATCGTCATTCTCTCTCTCACACACACACATACACATTCAATCACAACACGCTTTCATAAAGAGAGTACCATCAAATGAGTAACGCCAAAAAGCCACCTACAGACGAGACGGAGGTGGAAAGTTCTTGGCTTGAACCATGAAAGGTCGTGGATGCAGAGGAGAGCAGTTTGGCATCAGTTCCTTAGTCACGAAAATGGCATGGGAATGATTAGTTGCGTGGATTTTGTCCTTTAATGTCTTTTCCAGTGACTTTTTTTTAAGCATGAGGAGAGTATTTGCTGCCCCATAATCCTTAGTGACAAAGTGGGGCAAGAGTGTGAAAGGTTCAGTGGGAGTCATGTGGTGCTTTTTTCAGACATTCTTTATACAAAGGCATAGAACGATCAAGAACACGAGACCACAAATAAAAGAAAAATAATTAGTTTTTCCTAGGAATAATATTAAAACATAATCATTGGTAAATACAACAATGAAACACATTTAATTTCTTTAAGAAAATAAAAAGGCAACAGAAATTCACCCATTCCAGTGCAGCAAATCTAAACCCAGCCGATTAAGAAATAAAATCACCGTAACCAGAATTTAGTCCTCTCAGTATTGATCAAGTGTGCTGGCCCTTACTGAACAACGGTGAGGCGTAACCCTGTTGATAGATTAAGAGGAAGAAATAAACACAGATAGAGTGTGTGTTTCTCTCTGAAGGGGGCACACACATAATTGTCCACCTCCACCCTGTGATTCTGAAGTCAATGGCCACCCCTCTTTCAAGTTTGCCGTTTTATGCTCTGTCTGTTTCAATAGGCAATAGGTGCGTTTGTGTGCGAGAGACTGAAATGAATTGCAGAAACAAACCGTGTCGAGACCCGTCGGCTCTCTGAATTGAACATTTTCAGAACAAGAACCTGCAGAGTTTTTACCCTTCTAAACCTGAATCCCCATTCTGTGCAGGATTGAAGGGCCAGTGTGCAATTTTTCCCCCCGTTTGTATGAATCTGATCTTAAATCTCTCTCTGTACCTACCCATACGAGCAGATTGTGTTTGAGCAGTATATTCTCCATTCATCCCTGTTCAGAGACTTTAAAATGCTACTTTCGCATCTCTCTCCTCTCACAGTTTCAGCTCGTTGGCGATTTTGGAGGCGATGTTTTTGAAGGCAATGGACGTCCCGGATATCCTCTTGAAGCGTACGCCGTTGAGCGAGAGGCGGGGCAGCTTGCACACCTCCATCTCCCACTGCACAAAGTCGTCACGGGCGGGATTGCCGGCCATGCACAGCAGCATGTAGCACTCGCGTAGCTCGTACTCGCAGCTGTTGGCGTCGAGAACCTTCCGAATCTCCTTCATCATCTCGCCGGGCTCCATGGAAGACGTGGTCTTCATGCTCCAGGTGAAGCGCAGCGAGCGAGGCTTCGTCTGGTCTTTAAGCGAGGACACGGGCGCTGTCGGAGGAGTCCCGTCGCCCGGGGAGGAGGAGGAGTCTTTGTTGTCGTCTTCTGGCCCTACACTGGTCTTCTCCGACTTCTCTGCGCTGCTGAGCATCGTTCTGGGGAGACAGGGATGGACAGAGAAGGATGGAGGTGGGGGAGGTTGAGAGAATAATATCAGTAGGGGGTGAATGAGGACAGAAAGAAAGGAAAAAGAACAAAGAGGATGTAGGAAGGTGTGTGGGAGAAAAGTGAGAAATTGTTGAGAGAGAAAAAAGGAGGGTTGAGGGAATTTGAGGGTTGAAGAGTCAGAGGGAGGGAGAGAGAGGATGAGGCAGTGGACATGGTTGGAGAGAGACATACGGCAATAATCAACTGGAAACGTTGCAGAGGAAAGGAGAGCGCATGCGTGTGTTCATGTGCAAATTGATGTGGCGCAAACACATGGAACAGAGAAAGGCTTCTGCTTCAAATGAACACCTTTCACTCTGAGGCATTCTCGTGTCTGCTGCACCTCACACGCCGAAAGTAGAAATTGGAAGTTTTATTGACTCTGGACTGAATATGACAGCTGAGCCCGTTAGTGTGACTTTAAGAAGCTTTGAATCTCAGCCTTAAGAAGACTAAATATGATTCAGCTCGTTCAAATCACTAAATGACACTCGGTGACAAAAGGAGAATCAGGTAACTGGGTAATTAAACACTATGTGTGTCACAATCAAGAATGCTTAATGCTGCATTTAAGTCCTGCTGGGAAGCTACTGACAAATGCGGAAAATGATGTTGTTGGTAAAAATGACGCATTGGGCAATTTCATGTTTCATGAAGCTTTTCACTATGCACATAAGGTGTGTAATTGATGCTTTATCTACACTACAGTTCAAAAATGTATTAAAGAAATGAATACTTTTATTCAGCAAGGATAAACAAAATTCATCAAAACTGGAGTAATAGCTTCTGAAAATTCAGCTTAGCAATCACAGGAATAAGAGTTCAAAAATCAAGTTTTGAATGTTGTTTATGTCTATGTGGTGTTTTTAATATGCTTTAAGACAAACCATGTGCAAATTCATAAGTCAGCACCATTGCTGAGTATTTTCTCTTTAAAACTGCAGTGAACTAAAGACAGTCTTAAAAACACGGTTTGAAACCGGCTGTTTCTTACGTCACAAACATGTTGTGACCAATCACATCAACATGCGGGGGGGGCTTCAGCATATCATTACTAAGCAGGGGAGTCTCAAGAGGAGCAAGGTTATCCTGGTATATTTTTCTGTTGATATGAAAAATCAGGTACTTTTAGCAATATAGCGGGTGAATTATGTTCATGATGTCTATTACGATGTTATGATGAACTATATGCCCTTTTCCAATGATGTTCTAAGTTGTTCATAGTGTTTCTAAGGAGACTGATTTTTAGAAGGCAGACTGAGATGTGAACAGGAATATGGTTTGTGTAACATTAGCAACACCTTATTAGCTATTTGATAATATAGTCAAGCAAAAAAAACGTTATGTGTCCGACATTATAAGGGCGATACCATTATGCAGCGTTTACTACAGTAAAGTTGAGCGAGTGCATCAGGTTTTCTGAGCTGGTGTGAGTGAGTGGAGGCAAGGACTAATTTGCATATTCATGAGTCTGAGTATACTAAATGAAGGAAGGGTGTAGAGTTACATTCAAGCTATTTTAAGGCATGAATAAAAAAAATTCACATGAAAAAAAGTTTAAATATGTCATTTTGGTGATTAAAGATGAGTTTTAAGGGATCAAGTTATTGACTACAGGGGGACTTTAAAATATATTCAAAATAGAAAACAGTTATTTTAAATTGTAATAATATTTCACAATATTACTGTTGTCACATAAATAAATGCAGCCATGGTGAGAATAAGTGGCTTTTTTTTTTTTCACCACACCTAACCTTTGAACAGTAGTGTACTTTACTTCCGCTGAAAAAGTTTGGTCTTTTAAACCTCTTGCCTAATAAACTAGCAGTGATATTTTCTGACAAGCTTTATCACTTCATCAGCAGTAACCAAAATGCCTACAAACTAAATTGTAAAACTTAATTATGACCAATATTTAGATTTTTGTTGAATATTTTGACACTTTGATTCTATGAAGATTCTTGAATTGAAACACCCCTAACCGAAACAGTCAGAAAAAAACTGGTTATTAAGATATTGTGAAGGCATCTATGCATGGTAAAATTATAAATAAAATCATATGACTTAAAGGCAGCATTACATTGGTCTGATTTGCAATATTTAAAATGAATACAATACTAATACTACTTTTGGTTCCTGATCATGATGATGCTAAAAAATATCTGAGACCAAAGTCCAAAGTGAGGTGCATCGCAAATGTGTTCACAGCATTAAAGATTTGATTATTATAAGCTGTGCATAGTCAGAAAAACATAAGCAGAAACCTTTCAACTGTGCATGTGTTTGCCAAATAGAAGACAGGCAGAAATCTGAAATTCATTCTTTGTGAACACAAATTATGAATCGACTAAAAATCAAAACATACACTCGCACATACCCATCCACACACTGCAATTAATCCACCAATTAAATCCCACTAGGTAACTACCAATATTTGTTAAAAACCATTTAAAAGCCCCTTTGCTGCCCAATTACACCTCTAAGGATCTACTGATTAGATCTGATGAAGAAATCCTTGTTTTGTTCTCACCTGCTTCCCTCCTCTCGACCCTCTCCCTCATAGGGGCTCCTCGAAAAAAATTGCAAGGTGTTTAGTCTTAGTCTGAGTTCTAGTTTAACTCAATCAGTACAGTGAGCAGGAAGGGGAAGGATGGTCTAGTGCCACATTAGTTTATGAAAACATTTACCCCTCCAGAACCACCACATTCCACCAATTCACTTGTTCATTCCCATTTTAACACTACTTTCAGTTCTATTTATGCAGTGTAGAGCCTCTTGCCTAGACCTTGAGTGATATTGCTTTAATATATTATTTATAACGCTTATCGATTTTACGATTATGGTGCGACAACAATAGTGCTCACTCACAGTTACTGTGCTGATCTACTGTATGCAACAATGGAGTCATGTATGTGCAATGCCAATGAACAGATGAATCAGACAGACTGCTTCAGTAACATGAAGTGGGGTGGAATGATGCAGGTCTTTCCAAGATGTTCTAAAGGATTCTAGTCCCATCACCATGGTAACTACTCACATCCAACAGTCACCTGCCCCTATAGTCTGTCTGGCCGAGCACACAAGCATCCCGAACATGCCACCAGACACACAGACAGACAAACAGGCCCTTAGCAAACTGGCATCACTGTCAGAGCCTTTCTGCTAAGAGTCATATGAAAACACCACACAGAGGACAGAAACACACACAAACTCAGTCACGTGGACAGACAGGGAGGATAAAACACAGTTGGAGAAACAGCTCAGGACTTTGAAGGCTCTTCATGATATAAACGGTAAAAAACAAGCAAAGCAGCATTTGACTGTTTAAAGCTCTGAAAGAAACATGAAAAATTAAACTGGATGAATCCTGCAAAGAATAATTGGTTGTGTCACCAACAGGCATAACTTACAAAATACAGGCTTCAGGTTTGACCACCAGAGGGCGCAAAGACATATTTCCTTCAATAAGCTGCTCGCTTGCGCCCTCTGTTGGGCTCTAAAACGATATAAGCACCACACATAACTTCAGTTACGTAAATAATCATGTCAGAGGAAGAAAATGTCTTTCATTTGTTAATTCAGACTCCATGTATCTGTGCCAGTGGCCCAAGTGGTTAGTGACAGACAGATGGTGACATCCATTCACCAGGTGCCTGTGTGCGAGTGAGTCATCAGTCAAACAGATTTAGACAGTGCCGCATAAACAGAGAGAGAGAGAGAGAGAGAGATGTGCGATGGGGAAGTTTGGCTTTAGGTGTTTGAGCAGGACAAAGCCTGGCAGCTGGTCGGTCTCAGCTTCTGTAGCTGTTGTCATTGTTAATGAGCAAGTGAAAAAAGAGAGAAACCCTCCTGAAGTTGTTCTGCACAAGATAACATCAGTCTCGGTCATCCTTCAACCTTTTTTCTTTAAAATTTCCTTTAAAAATACATGACATTAACACTTGTAATTACAATGGCAGAATGTCTTACTAGAATTGACTTTTATATGATCAAAATGAATTATAATTGCTAATAGTATTTTGTTTCCCTTTTTTGCTCAGATGTTCAAGCAACGTCTTCCTCTTCTTGGCACATAGAGGAAGTCATGGGGTAACAACCTATGCCAAAACAATTACGACATACTCTACAGTTCAAAAGTTTGAGGTCGGTAAGATTTTTTAAATGTTTTTTGAAAGAAGTCTCTTATTTTCATCAAGGATGCATTTATTTGATCGAAAATACAGTAAACAGCAATATCGGGAAATACTACAACGTAAAATAACTGTTTAATATATTTTAAAATGTAATTTATTCCTGTGATGGTAAAGCTGGATTTTCAGCATCATCATTACTCCAGTCTTCAGTGTCACGTGATCCTTCAGAAATCATCATATCTTATTATCATCAATGTTGAAAACAGTTGTTTAATATTTTTATGGAAACCAAGATACTTTTTTTCCTCAGGATTCTTCGATGAATAAAAATTTCTTAAAAATAAAATAGAAATCTTTTGTAACTTTTAATTAATTTTATGCATTCTTGCTGAATAAAAGTATTTCTTTCTAAAGAAATACAGACCCCAAACTTTTGAATGGTAGCGCATGCAAATGACCATGCTTGCTACTTTTTCCATGACATCATATCCTATTAGCCATCTTAATTATGACCTCAGGTCTTGTTATCAAAGCCCTGTGTTATTTGAGCAGCCAGAGAAACTAGTCACACAAAGAATCTGGGGCACACAGGTGAGATCACCAGGTAAACTGACAGGGAGGGGGAAATGAAAGGATGGAGATGGGGAGGAAAGGCGCTGAGTGTTACTGTGGTTGAAGGCGGTGGTGTTTTTAGGGCTGAAGTTGGTCGTTAGTGCTGGTCATGACATTGCACAAAAAATAAACAACCAGGAAAAAGGGCCAATCACAGAACACACTGAGGGATGTAGACAAGGAACAAGGAAAGAGAAATAAAAAGGTCAAAACAAGCCTTAAACAGGGGGGGGGGGGGGGGGGGGCGGAGGTCATGGTCATCATTGCCTACCTTCTGGGGAATCTGAATGACAGATTTCTACAAAACAAAAGTAAAAGAAAAAAAAGGAAAGATATGTATATATGTAAATTGAAGAGCAAAAAAAAAAGGTAAATGAAAACGTCAAAGTTGTCAGGTTGCTTTGGTCACAGCAACAATCAGTCTGTGGTTATTTGATGGGTTATCGGTTTAAACTGTACAGAATGAGCAAATAACATTAGTAATCGGGGTCAAATGCATGCAATTAAACTATTAAGTCAATTATTAACACTCATAAAAGGGTTGGAATGCTTACACAAACTAAGTAGAGTTATGTAAACTGCCTAATCTAAAAGTATTTTTAAAGCCAGCATGAAATAAACTATGCCCAATTAATCAATGCAAATTATTCCAAAGGAAAAAAGTTTATCAGAACTTTATCACTAGCTCTGCCTCTGACATGACTAACCTTCATGTCACACCTAAGCCACACAAGTGGTGAAAATAATCTTAACCAAGAGCCAGTAGTTATTGTTTCAGCCAAACTCATTGTACGTAATGCTGCCTTGCTGATAAAAAAAATCTTGCAAATTGTTAAAGCAGTAATTGAATGGTATATATATATATACTACCGTTTCAAAAGATTGGGGTCTGTAAGATCATTACCGTTTAAAATAACTGTTTTTTATTATATTTTAAAATGTAAATTATTCCTGTGATGGCAAAGCTGAATTTTTAGCAAGTCATTACTCCAGTCTTCAGTATCACATGATCCTTCAGAGAAACACTCAAGAAGCACTTATTATTATTACTATCAATGTTGAAAACTGTTGTGCTGCTTAATATTTTTGTGGAAACTATGATACTGAACATGAACAGAATGTTTAAAAGAACAGCATTTATTCTTTAGTAACATTACACATGTCCATACTGTCACTTCTTAATCAATTTAATTAGTAGTCCTTCTTGCTGAATAAAAGTATTCATTTCTTTAAAAAAAAAAAAAAAAATCTTAAATGACCCCAAACTTTTGAACGGTATTGTAATAAAGATCGTAGCAATTATATCAATTATGCCCACTTTTAACAATCCAAATGGATATTCTGTTTAATTGAGCAAAATGTCATATTACAGAAGTAAAATGGTTTGCGAATGCAATTTCATGTTGACCTTAAGAAAGGATGTTTACATTAATTTATTAAAGCGCACAAATCTTGTTCATGCTTGAACATGTACACAAAAGGACACAAAAACAAACAGACAGATGCACATGGACAAAATTGAAAACGTCATCTTTCATTTCACCCTTTTGAAATCTGAGACTGAATACAAATGAAAGACTACTGACCATGAAGGTGTGTTCTTTCGTTTCCTCAGTGTTTCTGAGGGATTTCGAGTCTAGCAGTTTAAACATGACTGCCTAGATCCAACAGAACAGTTTGGTGATATGCTATTAAAGAAATGTAGCAACGTAACCCATAATGTAAGCCTTAAGTTTCTTTTGTAAACTGCTATTGCGGCACTAGTGAGTGGATGCCAAGGTGTCCCCTCCACAAGTATTTATAGAGCAGGGGAATGCAATACCTCAGCTGTTACCAAGGATACTGTCACCACGGAGGTGCAGAAAAGGTAGATATGTGTTGGGAGTGTGTGCTGGAACTCGGAGACGGAGATGATGAAACTGATGAGAAATCTGCATGTATATAAATGAGCTGAGATTCGTGTTGGGATTATGGGGACTGACAGCACTTTGATTGCCTTATGAAGGCCTGACCTTGTGGGTGAAATTATGACAATACCCAACACCCTGTTGAACAATGTGCCGGTGCTTTGCAAGGACAAATCTATTGCAAAGCTGTTTGATCAAAGATGGACAACCAAGCAGCCGATTTCTACATGCTAACTGAATATAAAGACAGACTCTTTTGAAAAAACCCTCAGCAGGAGGTGTGAGAATGTGCTGATGTGTCAGTGTGGTCGTCTTTCACTTTGTCTCCAAGTCTCTTTCTGTTCTTTTTCATCACCACCTAATCCAAATTTAACTGCTGAAAATACCCGGGATTCATCACACTCATCCTCACACCACCACGCACAGGCTTCTTCCCGTGCCATTAACACTTCTCGAAATCAATGACTTTCATTCCTATGTCAATTTAATAATTTATTAACACTCTTTTGTCTGTCTCACCTGCGCACAAACTTGGAGGTGAACTTGCTGAAGATCCCGGAAGCACCGGGTCGTCGTTGTTGGCTGTTTCCATGGGAGAGGGAAGGGGAAGCGGGGGCTCCGTGGTACGGCGAACCCTGTTGGTCCCGTGCGCCCCTCTGCTGGCCGAGGTGGAAGGTGTTGCGGGTGGGCACCCCTCTGGGGAAGTTGGTACGGTCCGTCCCAGCTGCGCTGCTGATATTGTGGGCTGATGGGGAAGCGCCAGGTGCTCTCTGTGGGGGATCACTGTGACAAAGCAATTTTCCCCAAACAAAAGAACATAAATAAAGATGAGGACATAGCAGGATTAGTATCCCCCCCCCCCCCCCCCCCACCCACCCCCCCAATTTTTGTATTTTTTTTTAAATGTATATTTATTTATTTAAATTTTAAATAAATTTGATTATAATATATACGTTATTTAAATGCATTTAAATGTTTTTTTATTTAAATAAAATAAAATAGGGCATGGAAGGTTGATTTTCACTGTCTGCAGAAAGAATAGCCACTGATAATGGGTGTTTCAAACCTACATATTCAAAGGAGATTCAAAATGTAAATACTTGATTTATGCATTTATGAAATCTCCATAAAATCATGTTGAACTTTAAAAAATATATATAAATTTGAATTATGGTAGAACAATAGATTATGTATCAGGAGCTCTGTTCTGGCTCTTGCAGTGCTCTAGAAACTTATATTATGTAATCTCAAAATAATTAAATATGTCGACTGCAGAGAGAGAACACACACATCATATCTCTAACCCAATGCATAGACCTTTAATCGGCTTAATCTAACACACACACAACACAGAAACACACAGATCAGGGATATTGTGAAACTCGCTCACTGCAATTTGTGTGTGTGAGTGTGAGAGTAAGAGTGTGTGTTCATCCAAGCGAGTGCAGTGAAACAGAACACCTCCCCCATCGCTGTCCTTTCTGCACACTGTCTGTGAAAATCTCACCCAACCATGTCAGGTCCATGCCAACATCTGTTTAAGTGCCAACCAGTGTAGTAGAACCTAGTCGGAACCAGTCGCCAACTGGAACAAGCACAGCCAGAGAGGTCACATGACTCTGGGTAACTGAACCTGCCAAAGCTAGATTATAATACACTGTCCATCCACTTCAGCCAGGAAGTGAAGTGTGCTGGACCCTTCTCAGAAGCATAGCTGTGTTTGGAATAATGAACTACGATCTGCTCTGTATACGGACACCAGATTATCATCCAGAACATCCAGACATTTTTGTTGCTACTGATTTCACAAGGTTACACACACTGGTCCACTTCTAGAAAATGAAAACTTTTTAAGATTTCAACTTAATAAGTCAACATGAAATGCCCATTTACTTTCACATTTCTGGTCTTACTGTGCATGCTACTCCAAAGAAATATATTAGTGTATACACTTTCTGCAATCCAATCACTTCTTGATGGATTAAAATTAAATTAAATGGCAGAATTTTTAGGATCTAAACAATTCCTGATCAGTGCAAACCAGTGTTATTTTAGTATCATTGATATAGTCTACATGAAAATGAGAAATGTTGAATTGGCAACTAGCCGACAAGTTTTTATTTAATTTCACAATATGTAAACTTTTTTTTAATTAATTAATTTGAGTTTTAGTTAACGATAATATCCCTTTTCCTCATGGATAATGGTAACGGATAAAATGAAGTCCTGATCAACAATATCATCATTGAATATTCAGTTTCACACCAAAATGTGTCACATTATGGAAGTAAAATGGATTTCGACCATCATTTCATGTTGAGTTTGACTCTAAAACATTAATTGGTTGATGGGGATCAGTATTTACAATGCCACTGACTCAAACAAGCATTTTTCTTTTTTTTATTTGGCCACGCGATTGTTTGATATCCCCCCCCCCAACCCCCCCCTCCTCCAAACCAGTTCAGGGGATATCCCGCCCTGCAGCCGATTCTAAAGATTTCATTTGTCATGTCAATCACTGCACTGACTGCCAACACCAAACACTGATCCCTAAACGTACCCGTCACTGTAACCTTAACCAATGAAATTAGCTGCAGGGCGGGATTTCCGCTTAACTGGTTTGGGGGGGGGGTTCACGCTTTGGCCACAGCCTTAGACATCCACCATAACTTACCTTCTGCAGATCCACCTACAGCCCAACACACTGCCTAAATAAGACCTTCTCAAACCCTCTTTACACAAAAGTTCACAGAAGTCATCAGTAACACTTCAGGTTGGAGTGAACGGGAACCTGAATCACTGTGCACATCACTAGGATAGTGTCTAACTATCACAATACCATGGAGCAAAAAATACTCAGGGGCAAATTTGGGGAAAACGTTATCTACAAACTCTGGATGCGCAAACTAATACACACAAACATGACACCTAAGCAAGGGACTAAGATTTTCCCATAGTAACACAGTAGTATGTTAGATATGGCACACAGCTGGATGTTTAAAGTAAAAATAACATACGAGCACTCACTCTAGCAAATAGGAGCAGGAGCTTAAGAAACAAACCCACGCCACTGCAAAAACACATCTGCAGTTATGACGCATGTCAGAACATACATGAGACATGCATCTAGTATTATTTTCACATATTCCATTTATATTTTTCTCTTTAGTGCAGAGATTTTCACAGTGGCGAACCACATGGTTCTAAGGTGTCAAAGTGAAAGCCCTTACACGTGACTCGCGTCAATGTTGGTTACCCTCGTGCTAATTGTTGTAATGAAAAGTTCAGTTTGCCTCTGCACTGACCCTTCAACAGAGTTTGGTGTGAAAATCCAAACAAGATGTAAGAGGGATTGATCCGGGGGCAACCAAAAGTTTTCTGAGATTGTTTTTTCTTACATTTATGCATTTGACATTCAAGATACAAATTTGATCCGTTCATGCATTCACTGGGACAGAAACCAATGACCTTGCCATCGCTAGTGATCAGTTCTAAGTTCAAATACAATATTTTCAGTTTACTTGAAGCAGCCTTGCAAAAATGTCTTTCCTGTAAGCTATTTGAAGTATCCGTGGAGGTCAACGCTTGTGTCCAGACTGAGTCACGTGAAAGAACCTTGAGAGACAGATTGAGCCACACTATGTGCTGTACATGGTCTCTCACTCTCTCACTCACATATATACAGTGAGTGCACAGATCTGAATATATGGCCCTTGCACTGAGGTACGATTCACTCCAGAGGGGAGACAGTGCACAGGGGGCAGAGAAGCACAGAGAAGTGAGAGAGATGATGTAACAGAGCAGCGGTACCTTCTCTCAATGGTCCCCAACCACGCTCGGAAGAGGCTCAGGTCACTGCATGCAACAGACCAACCATTCACTTGCAGCGGCACTAACAGGCTAACACGAACCATTGACACTTTACGCTGCAGCGCTACAATTGATGGTGTGTTTCTGACGTGGTCAGTGTTTAGTGTGAATATGCGGTTTTATTTGTGGCTTTGTGCAACTTTCATCAGTGATAGTCCAGAGAGGACAGGAAACAACGGTTAAAGGGGGGGAACATGATTGAGAAATCATTTGGCTGTAAAGTGAAGTGGGGTCTGTGTTGAATTATTGTAATTTATCCACACTGCACATTCACATGGTTGTTAGGTAGAAACTAAGAAAACAACATCAATGTTCCCATTCTTAAGGTCCAGGTATCACCGTTCACATCCCATCTTAACAATCACTCATGACTTCATAAAAGCTGTAATAAATATTATTATTTCTTATTTACTCCTGAAATCCTTGAGAAAAAAAAAAAAGCATGGCTGTTTTTTTGCACAATGAAAGTGGTTGACCAAAAATATCTTGCTGGTTAAAGGGGCAGTTCACTCCAAATAAAAAATTCTGACATAATTTTCTGGAAGAGAAGTCGAGATTATCTCATACTGTGGACCACCAGCCAAAACATATGTTGGTGACTAGCTGTGCTTGTGTTTTCAGCAGGAATATGAAAATTTGTCTTGTTTTGTAGCACAACCGTCTCCCAGTGTTGACTTTGTAGACTCTTGTCACTCCCTGGCTTCCTGCAAGCTTTTTCCACGCCAAGTAAATGATTTCTAAGAATACATAACCCCCCTGAGACATGCTACAGTTCCCAGATTTGGGTTCTCTCTTTGGTGACGTGGGGACTTGCCTGGGCCGGTGTGAGTGCAGGTCTGTGGGACAGGGATGGGCAGAGGTGGAGAGTGACTTGTGATGGCGGATGCGTGAGGAAGAGACTGATGAGGAGAGCACGGCGCCGGCCGAAGCCGTGGAGGCGCGGGACCCGGGGGTGCTCAGGCTGAGGGGAGAGAGACAGCGGCCCCTCCGTACACACACGCACAAATCGACACACACATTAACACGAGTGTGTGCGTATGTGTGGAGGGAGGCAGGGAGGGAGGGAGGGAGAAGCATTCCATTAGAAACAGCACTTTGCACACATTAGATAGAGTGATAAATAGACCGACAGTACGACAGAGAGATAAATAGACAGACAGATTGATGATAGATAGGCAGACAGACAGATAGATAGACAGACAGAGAGACAGACATAATGGTAGATAGATAGACCAATAGATTGACAGACAGATAGATGGATGATAGAGTTAAAGCCAAAGAGCAATAGATAGAGCAATAGACAGAGAAATGAATGATAGAGCAATAGATAGGAAGATGGACTGAGTGACAGACAGACAGACAGACAGGCAGACATAGATAGATAGATAGATAGATAGATAGATAGATAGATAGATAGATAGATAGATAGATAGATAGATAGATAGATAGATAGATAGATAGATAGATAGATAGATAGATAGATAGATAGATGCATCTGGGCATCTAAAGTGAGAGACAGTGGTGTATGGTACAGGAGAGAGGGGGAGAGGGAGTGAGAGAGAGGTCAAACAGAGTGCTGATTTCACAGAAAAGCACAAAAGAAACACACACACACCCACACACCACTATGCAGGGATTAGTTGAGCTTGTGGTGGAGAAATAACATGCTATCACCTTGCTATGTGGCAGAGAGAAGCTAAGCCTATTACAGACGACTACAGCAACCTTACAACAGAGTTAATGGTGCTTTTTTTCCATCACAAGCCACCCTAATCCATTTAAAGCTATACATACGCTCACACTCACAGAGACACAAAGTTGCACACGCTCACACAGCTCAGACAGAAGAAAAACAAAATGAGAGTTCAAAGACAAAGGAACCAGAAGAGAGAGAAAGAAATGGAAAAGTAGAAGGATGTGTGGAGAATATTTAACCCGACACACTGTCTGAATGCCTTCAGAAAATCTCATGAAAAAACAAATCAGCAAATCCTGCAGGAGCATTCAAAGGACAAAAGGTTATAACCCTTAAATACCCCATGAAATCATTTAATGAAAGCAGTTTTCTTTCCAGTGCTGAAATATTCGCTACTTAAACAGGAAGTTGGGGTGGGACATAGTGAAGGCCTTTTAAAAAAAATAAACTTTAGATTACATCACATGATTTGCTACTTGCTATTGCTACTCAGAAGTTGATATTAGGAACATGTGATGTTCTTATTCCAGAAAGCATAACTTGAGTGCATGGGGTATTTAACACAGTCTCACTGACATACTTACACATATACACCCATAGAGAACTAAAGCATCACAGCACAGCTCTAACAGAAACAGTTGAAGGCTTGTTCACACCTAGTTCAAGGGATACTCCACCCTCTCATCATTTACTCACACTCATGCCATCCCAAAATGTACATGACTTGTTTTCTTCAGATGAGCACATACATTTTTAGTAAAATAATCTCGGAGTTCATATATTGCAAGTGTGCGAGACCCTCAAAACCACACAAAGTGAACACGACAGTAATACAAGACCCGAGTTGATGAAACAATGTGTCCGATAGATGTAAGAAAAATAATATAATTTTTTTTTTTACTATAAACTGTTATACAGTTTCATGAGTCAGCACGTTGTGCAACTCGCATGACAAGAGCGAGCTTGTCATGCTTCAAAACGTGCTGACATAGCGCTTCACAGTGCTCTCATGAATCAGCGTATGACATTTGGCCAGAAAAAAAACAACATTTAAAATAAGTCTTTTTCTTACATGCATCATTTCGCTACAGAAGACATTGATTCATCAATTGCCATCATATGAATTATTGGCATTTTGCATGGTTTTTGAAGTGTCAATTTATGGACTGACAGAGATGGATTATTTTTCTAAATATCTTAGTTTGTGTTCATCTGATGAAAATTCCAATATGTGCTCAAGAAACATTTCATATTATCAATGCTGGAAATGTTGAAAAAGTTGCTGCTTAATATTTTTGTTGAAACTGTGATACATTTATTTTTCAGGACTCATTTAATGAATTGAAAGTACAAAAGAACAGCATTTATTTGAAACGGAAATCTTTTGTAACATTGCATTTTTACTCTTACATTATATATGTGTGACTCAAACACACCCAAACGTTTGAACGGCAGCATATGTTATTCTGTATGTCATTTTTGCTATTCTTTGCAATAGCAAGAATATACAGAACTTTATTGTTTAACTTTTATGTAGCTCCACAAATACTGTAAGCTTCTGTTAACAAAGTCAAATTCTACTTGGCTGTACACTGATAGGAAAGTTCCTGACACATGACCTAAAAAGCTAGTATCTTATTTCAATATCTAATACTTGGTCTGAACAGGCCTTCATTAAAATAACTAACGGCATAGCACTTTCTGCACTGGAGTCGGCACTTTTTTGACAGAGCAGGAAAGATGCATTGAAAGTTTCAATTCAATTCCAGATATGTGTCGTCTCAGTTTATGAAACAATTAACAGTATTCAAACTACAAGGTACATGCATATTGACTTAACTCGTGACCATAATTTAAGCATTTCCATAATTTACATGCTGATGGTCACCATTCTACACTTCGGCAGACTAGAAGACATCATCTTTGTGCAACATGACTCTAGTAGGCAGAAAGCTCTATATCCGTTTTTAAAAACACATCTCATGCATATGCTTATGTATAATTTATACAGTTAAGAGACAGTACACTGGAGTGTGTGGAATGTGAGCATAGGCAGCAATATGAATGCTGGAGAGGAAGGAGTTATGATGGATGAATGGTTATAGAGGTGCACAGGAAGTGAAGGATGACTGACGTCTTAGCGCTTGTGGCGATGACCGTGGGAGGTTTATATGGGGTTTAGATGACGCTCTAATGCAGGGATGGGCAATGCCACTGTCCTGCAGAGTTTAGCTCTAACCCTAATAAAACACACCTGAACAAGCTAATCAATGTGTTCAGGATTGCTAATGCTAAAGGCAGGTGAGTTTTTGTTATCAGGGCTGGAGCTAAACTCTGCAGGACAGCGGCACTCCAGGATCGATGTTGCCCATCCCTGCTCTAATGCATGGTGTTATGTTTGCACTGTACATGTGCAACTAATAGGTTTTCAAAAGAATACAAACTCTGGTGATGGACTTTTTCTGTTTTAATTAGTGTGTGGGTTTGAATGAGATGGTACTCTAGGAGTCACTAATCCACCTGAAATCCAGGGTGACATGCCAATCTGGCACAACTCGGCCTTTCTGGGGATCAAAAGCATGCCAGTCTTCTCCATGGCAGGTAACGGCCAACAGCACAGAGACAGGAGATAGAGTAGACTGTGTGTGTGCAGTGTAAATTAGAGAAAAATGGTGACTGGTTTTGTTAGTGATCTTATCTAGAGGGATGAACTGTGCCCGTATGCGGGTGTGTGAGACATAGAAGAACGGTAGGTGTTTTTCTGTACTTTGCCTTCGAGATTTACAATCTTTCAACAAATGTGGTGTGTCTTTGGATGTACCTGTCCTTGCCGTTTTGTACTCCCAGAGTGGTTCTGTCCGAAATGGGGGAGTTTCTGCTGCGGCTTGTGCCCGTGGACAAGATACTATTCTGAAATCACAAACACACCAGTGTTAATATGATTAAATTAATAAAATTTGTTTTGTAAAAAAAAGGCTGGAATAAAATGTAAATGTTAGATGAACTACTTTAACTTAACTTTAAAATGATACATTTTAAAGGCAACTAAATTGGCACCTAACTGAAATAAAATAAGTTTAAAGCTGCAGTCCGCAGTTTTTCCTCTCTTCTCTGTTCGAAATCTGCAATTGAAGTTATTCGCGAAATTATCAACTTAACGTGAGTTGTAGTTCGACACGGCACAGCGCGGATGAACACAATGTTTGAGGAGAGTGTGCAGCTGTCAGTCACCGTGCCGGTGTGGATACTGTCATTCAGAATCATAGATTATTATTTTTGAAAGTATGACCAACATAATAATTTTCACCGGAAAATGTAATCTGAACAAGTAAGTAACATCCACTTTTGTTCTGGTTCTGACATTGCAGTAAATCGCGCTGATTAAATCTAAAAATCGCTTATCATATCACGCAAAACCGTGCAAATTATACTTTGTTCTCAAATTGTTAATGTTAACAACGTCAGCATTGCGTGACTACATGTAATGTCCTTCCGATATGTATCCTTGTTTTCGCATGGGTCCCTTTTTTTCTGTAGCCACTCCGAAGTCCGAACGAAGTCTTTTGCATTTTACAACGGGTGAATCTGTTGTCACTGGTGATTGTCGTTTGAACCTTTCTGGATCCGCCATCAAATTGATAAGTTTAATTATATCAAGTGCTGTGAGAAAAGGCTATAAATCTCCACCTCCAACATCCTCACACGCAATATAGCCTACTAGCCAAGACTCCTTCTTTATGTGTACAGATGTGACGTAATGACGCAAAGACATGCTCGAATCTCCCGCGGAAATCCACCAGTACCACTGGAAATGAATTAAAAACATTATTACAAGCTTACCGCTTTGAATCGAGCTAAGGCAAGCAGATAGTGTTCTTTAATGCACAACGTGGAGTGCATTCAAATTGTTTAATGCATAGCTAGCTGTGGATTATCCCACTTATAGATCTTATGCGCCAAAGAGACAAGCATGCAGCCATCTTAAGAATTTAGGGTTTGAGCTTCTTTTTTTGCGGTAGCTCTGTATATTTCTATGGCACCGCTGTGGAAGAGTAATTAGCTAATGAAGGGGTTTTACTTACTGTAGAGTTAATGAACGTTAGTATGGGCATTGTAATGTTTGAAGTTGAATCGTTTTTACTGTATGATTATTATTTTAATTATTATTAAATTAATATTTCTAAAATGGCATCTTTTTACAAGATTATTCTGATAAATGCACGTTTGCATTTATTAGCTCTGGAACTGCAACAGTAATCCAAGTATGGGTGTGGAGCGATTAAAGGAACCATGCTATGAACCAAGCAAAGGACAGCCCTGCTATGAACCCTGGGTGAATGTTTAATGACAAACTAGATACAAAACCATTTTTATTACTCAAGGCGTGAAAATGTTTGCATCCAACTACTATTTGGTTGGTACTCAGAAAGGGCCTATTTCATAAAATAGTATTTGCACTTTCTATTGAGGAAAAAAGAAAAGAAAAAGGTACACAAGTATGATGTGGTGTGTGAAAGTTCAAAATAGCATCCTCTGTAGCATTTTCACAGAAATAACTGTGAAAGCCATGAGCACTGGCCATGCCAAACATCTCTCGGTCAGAGTGTTCTTCAACCCTGGGCAAGCCCTTCCAGCCATCTGCTGCCTGAAAAATACCAGTGTGGAAAGCAACAAGCTTTCCAGAGCACCCCTGTGTAACTGAGAACAGAAGCAGTAGTTAAGATGTTTAAAAATTACCCTGCTATTATGTCAAAAGCTTCCTCAATCCATAATGTAATTGCGTGTTCAAGTTCATGGAAACTGAACTAAGGAACATGACGTGACTTTGGTACTGTTTTAGTCCTGTTGACAAGCTTGAGTGCTCTGAGGTGCTGTTTTCTATATTTGTTTAATTTTAGCCTGTAAAATATCAACAAGCACTCTGTCTATATAAATGTTATAATTGGTACAGTTCCCCTTTATTGTTTTATAGGTTGAAAAAGTTTTGACTTCTTTTTTTGGCAGTTGAGAGGGGAAATGACAGGACTAGAGGGAGGCACATGAATGGGAAAGCACACAAGCTTGTTGCCCACATCAACACCACAGCTCAAAATCTTGCTAAACAAGTATAAGTTGTACCTCTGGTAGATTATTTAATTGTGCGTGGTCTTTTATCCTATTTTTACATTTAGTTTAGCTTCTGCATAATCACACACTCACTTAGTTACATTTTAAAAATAATAATAACACTGTGAAATGTAATCTTAAATTACACGATTATCTTAAATGACTTTTTATATTTATACTGTACATAAAACTGTTGTGATGCTTAAATTCACTTGTAGCATTTAAGATGACTAATGTTAGTTTTTTGTGTTTTATTTGTCATTTATTTAGACAATTCTTTATTTTATTTTAATTCATCGGTACTTACAGTAGAGGGTGTAGAACTCTTTTTGCGTTCACTGAAGATCACTGGACTGGGTGGAACTTTGGTGGAGCTACTTGAACCTTTCCTCCCAGAATCCTCCACTCCATGCTTGTTTTCTCCCTGAGGCCTTTTCGATGAACCTAAGGGATAAAGAGGAAGGAGTTTAAAGACAAACATGCACCTGTATGTGTGTTTACCAGGGGCTTCAATCCACAAAACTTCCTAATCAACTCACCCTGATCTGTGGTTTTTCTGACGGGTTTCTGAGTGGATGACACGCTGCGCTGTACCTTCTGAGGTGGAGAAGGGGCGTTGCTATTAGTGAGGTCACATCCTGGGTGCGACTTTAATGACAAGATGAAACCCTCGTCAAGCTGCAAGACCGAATTTTCAATGATACATGAGCACAAAGTAGTTGTATCATCATATTTTGATGCCTCTGTGGGTACTAAAGCACAAATGTGTTTATGTATGTGGGTACCTCTGAATTCCTATAGTCAAGCAGCAGATAGGTTGCCATGACTTCATTGTATTTTTGTTTGACGAGAGAGTCCTCTATTTCCTCTTGAGGGAAACCCATCAGAAGCATTATGTCTAAGTGGGCAACATAGACACAATGTAATTTTAATACTTTTTTAATACCATTTCTTTCTATAATTTTTTTTATAGATATATTCTAACATCTAACTATTTCACCTGTTCTTCTGGGGTCTTTGTAGTCAGGCTGAGGGTCAATGAAGGGCTTCAACTCATCGTCTTCATGACCTACATTCATCCAGCGATCCCTCATGATCTGCTGCTGAGCCAATGGCAGACACACAGAAAGAGAATGAGAGAGATGGTGAGAGATCACATAACCAGATCTTTATGTTTTTATGCAACAAGCCTACATATTCCAGTGCAGATTTTTGCCAAATATTTGCTTATCTGAATGAAGGTACAGCATATTTCAGTCATTTACATGCTTTAATGCAAAACATAAAACATTATGTAAACGTAACAGATGTCGTCACTCTCCTAACATGAATCAAAAGGGGGAAAAAATGATAGTAGAAATTGAAAAAGACACTGTAATAAATATATTTACTCTAATTAAGTGGCTTCCACTAAGGGCCCTCAGCAAACTTAAAAAGGGGACTTCAAGATGATTTAAAATTATTTAAAACAAAACAAGCATTAAAATAAGATAAAACAATTAAAGATCAATATATTTACATATTTTAATTTACCCCCTCAACACCTTTCTTTTCTTTTCTTATGAAGATCCTACGATCTTAGAGAACATGGATGAAATTTTTAGACCTGGAAAAGTCGTCAAATTTTAACAAAATCTTAAACGCCATTAGCATTTTATTAATATACACTTTTCTGGTTTTGCCAAGCTTTATATTTCATCGGGTAGAAATAGTGCGTAAAAAATATCCATCCATCAAATCATGAACATCTGGAAATGTCGTTGTGCCCTCTGAATACTGTTGTGGACAATGGAGTCACAATGGAGACAGTGGCCTTGGAGTCAAAAAGGTTGAGATCTACAGTTCTAAATAGGTATAGTATATGCACTACAACATTTACATTTTGACAGGAAATATTTTATTTTCCTCAAATTAACTTTTCAACAAAGGATTTTTGAAGAATTTTCAGGCTCAGCATAAAGGAGTTCACACTGTCAGTTTTTGTGTTTGACAACCGCATTTTCTTACAGGTGTGAGTCTCAAATTGTCCTGTTTAAAAACTAACTTACAGGAGTGTCTAGAATATTGTCTTTATGAAAGTGCAACAGGAGTCAAACCCATATTCTCTCACATGTAACCATAGCGACAGTGACCAAAGTAATATCAAATATTGTGACATCCATAAAACTAAAAAGTATTATCACTTCTGATATGACAAGAGTTCAATCGAGCTGCGAGTTAAGTCATCAAATCTTCATTAACCGACAGGAGCTTTTATATCTGGGTAGAGAGTGGGTAGAGCACAAAACTGACGGGTGCTGCTACTGTGGAGAACAGTAACTGGATCTAAAACCTTCAGATGACACACAGCTCATTTTCTGTTGCTGTACGTTACAGAAAGAGAAACCACACACAAAAAAAACCTCAACGCACTGTAGACACGCATTTGTGCAGCACAGAGCGGCTCTCTTGCACTGTATGACATGACAACTAGTGGTCAAATCCGGTTCTGTCCACATAGCGAGGGTTTACCGAGAAAGCGGTTATGAGTCCTGAAGATGTACAGGTGTGAGTTCGGTTATTGAATGCGGTTGTCACTCCTGTAACTAACTGAACTGTGCGTGAACATAACCATATTAAAGACTCAAAAAGGACCGTTTAGTTGTAAAAACCTTAATATTTTGTGCTGAGAATTCAGACATGATGAGACTACACTTTAAGCTAATTGAAATTTGAGGCCTTATTGTCCGTATTCTAATACACAGTCAGATATCAGATGTGTAAATATGTCTAAACCAAGCGCACCTCCAAACTTCCCCTCTTGGTAGGATTGAGGATGAGAAACTTCTTCAGCAGGTTCTCACAGTCTGTGGACATATAGAAAGGAATCCTATACTTCCCTCTCAACACACGCTCTCGCAACTCCTGCGTAAGAGAAACAGAAACACAATGAGAATGATATAATAGAAAGGAGGAAGACAAAAATAGAACAGAGACAAACAGGAACATCAACACAGATCTTCATTGTCCCTCACCTTCAGGTTCTGTCCATCAAAAGGCAGTGAGCCACTGACCAGCGTGTAGAGTATGACCCCGAGACTCCACACATCCACCTCCGGCCCGTCATACTTTTTGCCCTGGAAGAGTTCAGGAGCGGCATACGGCGGGCTCCCGCAAAACGTGTCCAATTTATTGCCAACCGTAAACTCATTACTGAAGCCAAAGTCGGCGATCTTTATGTTCATGTCAGCATCCAGTAAAAGATTCTCAGCCTTAGGGAGAAAAGAAGGACAGCATGCTGGTAAGTAGAAAGCTTTAAAAGAGAAAAGTTGGCACTTGATTCGGAAAACAAGAAGCGTACAGTTCACACAATCAGCAACACACACACATCTCCATTTTTTACTTCAACATTGTTATTATCTATCAGAAATGCCTGCTTCTCTTCTTTCAAGCTGTTTGTCCAGCTTTTTTCATAATGAGTTCTCTCATGCTATTGTGTGTGTGTGTGTGTTTGTGAGTGTTGAGACTTGCCCTCTGTGCTGCCACTCAACATCTACACACAAACTTTAGCCGCGCAGGGAAGCCGTGTTGCCTAGCAACAGATGCGGGGTGCTAACTGGGCTCGGTTTGCAGAGTTAAATATTACTCTGCCAACAGAGCCAAACTTTTACAACATGCAAACACACAGCAACAAAGAAATGGACGAGGCATGGCCAGCACGAACGCCTGACAAAAGTGCTATTATACTGTCACTTAAAACTCCAGATTGAATGTAGCTCTGCTGTATTTAATATAACTAATCTGCATGTTGATTGGCTGCTCGAAACGTCATGTCATAGGCTTTTTTACCAAAACAAATTTCACTAAACTCATGTTTCCAAAAGGATTGAGTTTTTACTTCTGGGGTCCAATATGTTTCATTACTCAGTTCTTGGTTCCTCTCAATTTGGAGATGAGTGAAAGTAAAAACATTAACCTATGAGATCAAGACTGATTCTGATTCACAATATCTGACTCAATATTTATTTGTCCAAGAATCGGACTATACTGTTCACACTGTTTAAACGTTCGAGGTTAGTACGATTTTTTAGGTCTGGTTTCATAGACAGGGCTTTGATTAAGCCAGGATTAGAACAGGATTAGACCTTAGATCAATTGGGACATTTAAGTAGCTTTTATAAACATGCCTTAGAAAAAACATTACTGGTGTGCCTCTTGAGATAAAAACAATGGTGTATTTTAAGATATGCCAGTGCAAGTTGATTTCAGTTAAAACAGCTCAAACATGCACTTTACATGCCTTGTCTGTGAAACCGGGGGTTTATGTTTTTAAAAGTCTCTTATGCTCACCGAGGCTTTTATTAGATAATTTGAGTAAAAACAGTAATATTGTGAAAAATTATTACACTTTTTTCTTTTTTACTTATTTTAAATTGTAATTTGTTTCAATGATGGTCTTCAATGTCACGTGATCCTTCAGAAATCATTATAATATGCTTATTTAGTGCTCAAGAAATATTTCTTATTATCAATGTTGAAAACAGTTGTGTTGCTTAATATGTTTTGTGGAAACCTTGAAATATTTTTTTCTCAGGAGTCTTTGATGAATAGAAACAGCATTCATCAGAGACAGATATCATTTGTAACATTATAAATGTCGTTGCTGTCACTTCTGACCTATTTAATGCATCCTCGCTGCAAAAATGTATCAATTTCTTTAAAACATAAAAATAAAATCCGACTGACCCCAAACTGTTGAACATTAGTGCATGGAATTCATTACAAGAAACCAGTGAAGACAAAACAATTACAATTATTTTAATTTCCTTTTCTGGGGCAACCGGAACTGAACACAACACAACAATCAACACGCCTGTAACTTGAAAGAGAAACACGATATGGATCCTGCAATCCAACCTGAATAGCCAGAAACCTCTGTTTTAGAGTAGAGGTGTGGCTTAATTCTTTACACACACAAACACAGAGATGCAGAACCTATTACATTTGCAAACCTTTGGTAAGTGCTCTATTATTTATAGTGCTCATATTAAATCAATATGTTGAACATTGCCCTTTTCTATTGTAATCAATACAACTCCAGCATTGTGGTGTCATTATTTAGTGTGTGTGTGTGTGTATATACCTGATATTCCTTGCGTTATGGGGACCAAATGCCCACAAAGATAGTAATACCAGTAAATTTGGACTTTATGGGGACATTTTTTGGTCCCCATTAGGGGAAAACAGCAAATACATCATACTAAATGTGTTTTGAACATGTAAAAATGCAGAACGTTTTCTGTGATGGTAGGTTTAGGGGATAGAATAGTTTTTACTGTATACAAATTATTATTATGTCTATGGAATGTCTCTATAAAAAATTAAAACCAGTGTGTGTGTGTATATGCACATGCGAAAATGAGACAGGATTTCTGGGCTGTCCTGAGTGGGGTAGAAGAGAATTACATTAAGTTATGCATGGAGACAGAGACTAACTCCAAGGTACAAGGGTCACTAGGATGATGGTTTGGCCCAATAAGCACTTTCAGTATGTGGGCAGAGTATCATCATGGGAACAATTTTTCCAGAGAGACACTTCCTTTCATCTTAAATAAAAGATCTGAGGTCAGCAGTTCCAGAGTTCAGAGTACACTCATGATAGCGTGCAGGTGTAGGTGTGTGTGTGTGTGTGTGTGTGTGTGTATTTATGTCTGTTTAAACAGAGGACTCATTCCTACACCTGGACTCTTGTAATGGACTTTGATGACAGACACAGAAGAACTACTTAAGAAAATCTGAAAGATGAAGGAACAGCTGAATGGGGATCATCCTGCTCAGGGCATGTTCATATGTAAAAGGACCTAAGGCCCCCAAACACTCACGCACATTCTCACCTTGAGATCTCGGTGTACAATACACTTCTGATGGCAATACTGCACAGCTGAGACAATCTAGAGAGATAAAGAGAGAAGGTGTGGTGACTAATCAGGAGAGTATGTGAAGTCATTTAGGCTGCTCATGGGAGTTGTCGCTCTTTAATTAAGCTGTTCTATCAGTAATTAAGCCATCATACACACACATGTACACAGCACTGTTAATGAGCACACACACACACACACATACACACACACACACACACTAGTAGAAAATGCCCACTTAGCACCCCCTGCCACACACACTACTGTTCAAAATGGCATATAGCTGCATTTATTTGATCAAAAATACAGTAAAAACAGTCATATTGTGAAATATTACTTTAAAAATACTTTAAAATGTAATTTATTTCTATGATTGCAAAGCTGAATTTTCAGCAGCCATTATTCCAGTCTTCAGCATCATAATCATTCAGAAATCAGCAGATTTGCTGCTCAAGAAACATTTCTTATCATTACATTTGAAAACGGTTGTGCTGCTTAATATTTTTGAGGAAACCATGATACAAAGCTTTTACTGTAACTTTTTACCAAATTAATGCATCCTTATTGAATAAAAGTATTAATTTGAAAAAAAATTGTACTTAACATTTGAATGTCTGAGACCATAATAAAAATCTGTGATTCTAAATTGAATTTAAATTTGGAAATAGATAAAAGTTTGGGAATTTTGAAAATTAGATTTTTAGTCACCAATTAAATAACTAAATATTTGCCACTAATTATGTGGACTCGTTTGTTCAGATGTTCTTGCTTCCACTGAAACACAATGCTGTTTGGATCATTTTCAAATCGTGCTGGAGAACATAATCATCAGGTTTTATGTTAATTCATGTTAATTTTACAATTAAACTTTTGCACTCAAATGTCACCCTGAGGATATAATCTGCAAAAGATATATTACAAAATGTAGAATAGAATACAAAATTTTCACTAGTGGACTCAGACTTGGACCTTATTGTACATACATGTGAGCTTTGACACTGAAGTATGACTCGTTCACATGCACTCGCACTGACCTGTCTAAATTTGGCACGAGCTTCCTTTTCTTTCATCCTCCCGTGAGCAACAAGGTAATCAAAAACCTCGCCTTTGAAAGGGAAGATGGGAACATTGCAATAGAGTAGAAAATGACAGAGGAAGGCAAGAGGTAAAGAAGGAATGGTACAGGATGAGGAGAAGAACAGAAAGATCAGACAAAGGAGAGAGAAAGATGTGAAAATAACATCATTATAAAATGCTGTGTCCTGATTTTCAGTTCTTGACATGATTGACAGCTGGCAGTTCTAGTCTTTCAGCCAACTCACCTCCACTGGCATATTCCATGACTAAATACAGCGTCTTGTCTGTCTCGATCACCTCAAATAACTTCACTGATGGGGAGAGAGAGAGAGATAATCACAAATCAAAACATATAAGAGACTATTCACACCAAATTTGACTTTTAGGTGCATCCACAAATATACTTTAAAATGAAAGAACACATCTCTATGAAATCATTCACACTGACACTGTCAATTAATATATCGCTTGTTGCTTTACCATGTCATGCTTGTATAGGACACAATATGTTAATCACTTTTTTGTTCAACACATCAAGGAGTAAGTGACATTGTATTGGTTGATCGTTTTGTTCTGTTGTGTTTTGCTGGATATCCCACCATGAAATCTTATCCAAAATCTTGCATCAATAGATTTCTGCAGGGATGACGTATTTTGTAGGACAAAACCCAAAAACAAGTTAGCATTTCAGCTCTTCCAGTTCAATCTGAAGCCAATAGGTATTTTTTAAGCTTAATGGTGGTGACGTTGAAGTCATGTGACCGTGGTGTAGTTCGTTTTATTGCCTATGTTTACCTTTTTACTTCTGCAGAATGTAGGGATGCACGATATAGGATTTTGGCCGATATTCGATATGCCGATATTTTCAAACTAATTTTGCCCGATGCCGATACCGATATATTTGTATTTTTTTTTAAGTGCAAAAAAAAGCTTATAAAAGCTTCTATTAAAGTTCTCAGTCAAGAGCAGTGAATGATTTCCTCTGTGTTTTGTTGTTTTATTAACATTAATGGGATAGTTCTCCCAAAAATTTAAATTGTCATCATTTACTCTCTCAAGTTTCTTTCTTCTGTTGAAAATAAAAGTTATTTGGAAGAATGTGGCTAACCAAACAGTTTCTGTACTCCAGTGACTTCCATAGTATATTTAAGCACAAGAAATAAATGAATACAGGTTTGGAACAACATTAGAGTGAGTAAATAATGATAGAATTTTTATTTCTGGGTGCAGTATCTCTTTAAGGACAAGCGGCAGCATATTATTACTGTCTCTTTAAAGTCCCTGTAAAGGCAATTTCAAAAAAAAATTCTAAACACATTATAAATGTTAGAAATGTATTGATTAAACATATTACAAAGACTGTGAACTGTGAAGTACTGAATTGTGGAGTTAGACCGTTAAACAGTTTTTCACCATTGCTATTTTCCGGATTTTCTGGGCGGGGCTAAAACGGGGCTCGATGACGCACTGGAGCCCTTGAGCTCCTGGACACGCCCCTACTTGATGACGCACTAAAGCCGCTGAGGCTGGCCGCTCCTAACAATATTATAGAGCACATTCACATCAGTTTGCCGCTCATTCGCGAGTTACTGTCAGTACTATTATTAGTAACGGCCTACAGATTGCTAGCTAGCTATGCCTTTGTCACGGAAATGCGTAACGTTACTACCTGGATACGATCACCGGATCAGTACAAAACAGATCGGTGTCCTTATTTACATTTCCGAAAAACGATTACATCAAGAAGAAGTGGATTAATTTTGTGAAGAGCCACCTTGATGGAGAGCTGAGGATCACCGCCAAAACCCACCTCTGTAAGTGATCATTTTACACGGGATAGTTTTATAAACTTTCATCAGAGACAACTGGGATTCACTGATAATCCGCTGTTACTGGTGAATGGGGCCGAACCGACTATCTCCCGCCTCGGCCTTCATCCTCCAGTCGCGCCGACAACTGGTGCCATCATCGCCATCGGAAGTGCGTGCCCACCGTGCGAGCATCCATTTCGGCTGTAGAGTTGAGTGTGGCGACGGCAGCTTTCCCGTGAGTGGGCGTGGCTTCAGCACAGCCAGCGGACACGCCCCCAGCGTTTGAGAGCAGAGAATACTGCTCATTTTTTCAAGATTTTGATAGCTTATTTTATGTACTTGCTGGCTTTTTTTATCATTCAAATTTGGCTGGGTGACTAATAACATATTTTTCTGTGGTGTGACAAACTCAGAACACATACTTAATTTTGACTTTGCAGGGACTGAACTGCACGCGACGCGTCTAATATACACGGCACGCATTTGACAAGCAGATTTTCTCTGTTTGCTTTCACTTTAGACATAACCAACTTTGTTTATGTAAACCTTGTGTGTATTTGACAGTATCAGCGCAATAAGACTCGAAAGATTAGTCCAGTATGCAGGCGCTGTGACAGGCTTTTAGTTCCTGTGAGCGTCGCGTGTACGCGCTCAGAAAAGCGGATGTTAGAACAGCGCATCAGCACGTGAATGACATGTTTACCTAGCAAGACTTTGACGCACATGCAAATAATGAACTTTTGTGAATTGCGGTGTCCCGTGAGTGTAACTTTGCCTCTGCGTTTACATGTGATGTGATGTGAATGTACGTCGCGTTGTACAGTATGTTGAGATGAAGGCGACAGAATTGAACTGATACAATGGACGATACTATGATTTTTCTTCAAAAGCAGATCGTGGAGACATATTAATCGTCCACGATCAACAACCGTGAGACGCACACCCCTAGTTGGAAGTTTAAGTTGCTGGCGCTCATGCTTCGTTCGCGGTCTTCACGTGCGCATAGGAAACATGCCACCCTATCGGCAAGGCTCATCGGCAGAAATATTCATATCGGCCGATGCCGATGATGGTGATTTTAAGCTTTTATCAGCCGATACCGATGTTGTCCCGATATCATCGTGCATCCCTAGCAGAATGTATTTAGGTTTCAAATTTCATACAAATGTTCATTTGAGGAGATTATCATGATGAACACAACGTGTAAGAATCAAAAACTTTTGTTAGATCACAGAGCTTATTTTCTGCAATAATCCAAAAGCCAAAGGAATTTTTTTTTGGGGAAGCCAGGGAACCAGGGTGATGCTTCCGGTATGGCCTACAAAAAAACATCTATTACCTCTATTAGCAATAGCAAGCTGAGATTGTTGTGCTGTGCAACATATTCGCTTTCGATGTATACAAACAAATTATCTGTCACGTCCAGTTTAACTGTCACTGTGTGAATCTGTACTTTTAATTGACGGACTAGAAAGATTTTCTTTTAAACTTTGTATTCTGAACCATTTATTCCGGTATCTTTTCAGAGAATGACAATTTTCAATCTGACTGTTTAAATAGATTTAGAGCGAAAATGAGTTTGAGAATAATATTTATACTTTTTTTTTTTTTTTTTTGCATCAGACTTGGTGTGAACAGGCTTTACTGCAAAACTACTCTATTGGGGTTAACAGTGCCAACAACTGGTGTTGAGAAAAATAAATCCTACAACTGATATAGCGCATCTACACCTCTAAAGCACAGCATTATTACTTCATGGGATAGCAGAGAATGAGCTTTGAAGAAAAGCAGTGGTGATAAACACATCTCTTTCCATATAAAGCGCTTCAGGCTTTGCAATGAATGCTTCAAAACCCACCATATCCGTCTTGATATGGTAAAAATTACACTTACAAACTGCATTAGAACGAGTTTCCTGAGCTAGAAACAGTGACAAGAAATTTTTCTCATAAAAATCTCATCAGCAACCATAAAACCTACAAACGCACTAAGGAGAGAAGAGAACAAAACCCTAAATGGAAAAAATTTAAATGTTCCAAATCCAAACAAACAGCATCTAATAAAGGGAGAAACATTAAAGGAGAACTCCGGCGCAAAATGAACCTTTGGTCTAATTACACATTGGTACCTAGTCAACCGTTATCTGAGATTTGTTTTCATGATTATCGAATGTAAATAGTTTTATCTCTAAAAACAGTTTAGCCTATAAAGCTAGTATAACGCTAGTATATTGGGCATAGATCAATGACAAATAAAAATCGCTTGTTAATACCACTAACAAGGCTCAAAATAGCCCCACACTAACACGGTAGCATAATGAGGGTCCCTACCTTCAAACCGAAGCATTGAGAACTTTGTCAGTGTCCAGACAGTTTAATAAGAAGATATTTAATACATACAGTCAACTTCGCGTATACAGGCAGGAGCCATCTTTGAAATACAGTCTCTACCAGTCGATCTACGAACGCCGATCCAAGCCTGCTGTTCGCGCTCACCTTATCACAACTTATAGCTCGTTCACATCTCACCAGCGCACTTGGATCGGCGTTCGTAGATTGACTGGTAGAGACTGTATTTCAAAGATGGCTCCTGCCTGTAAACGCGAAGTTGACTGTATGTATTAAATATCTTCTAGCGTTATACTAGCTTTATAGGCTAAACTGTTTTTAGAGATAAAACTATTTACATTCGATAATCATGAAAACAAATCTCAGATAACGGTTGACTAGGTACCAATGTGTAATTAGACCAAAGGTTAATTTTGCGCCGGAGTTCTCCTTTAATAAAGTAGAATTAGAAAAACGAACAGGGATTAGGAGTTGCGTTTTAAACTTCAGAGCTATTCCATTCATTACAATCTATTCAACGAAAACAGCCCACTACTGTTTGACATTAATGCAATGAATAAAATACATAATCCCTACTTTGTGTGTGTCGTCATGGAAAGATCAAGGAGCGTTTCGGATCAATCAGCTGTGATTTTGTGATGTGATACCAGCACAGGCGCACTCGGCCATTGAACAGAGAGAGCAAAGGCTCTGAATCAGGACTGAATCCTCAGTGCTGCATCCTCAAAGGTGGCAGGTCTTCCCTTTCATATTTCAGCTAAGCGCTTTGATATTTATGAGCACAAGCTAAGCACTAATGAGCTGGCGCTTCCGTCAGGACCACACATACAGACTTAAACACACTGTTACACTGTGTGCAAGTTTGAGCAAATGCACATCAGCACACATTAAATAGTCAATTTCTTTAGCATCTATGAAATCAAAGCCTCGGGAATGCTGATATCAACGATTTTCTGATGATTCATGTCAGATGCTGAATTAAAATACCGTAATAATTCTATTAATTGTAGTGTGGCCAGTTATACGGGTTCTTTCTGGATCACTCACCGATGTTCGGGTGATTCAACATCTTCATAATTCTCACTTCTCGGAAGAGCTAAGAAAACACAGAAAAGAGAGAAGGTTTGAGAAGATCATAGGCCTTGACCAGGAACTCTTAACCTGATATTTTGTGATAATATCAGATACATGAAATTAAGGGTTCAGCCCTGCGTTTCTCAAAAGCATCGTGAGCTAAATTGATCGTAAAGACCTTTGGTGCCAATGGTACTATAACCAACTTAGGCTTACGATGCTTTTGAGAAACGCAGCACAGGTCAATCCCATTTCAAGTCAGTTCAAGCTGGTTTGCTAGGGTTAGGTGGCCTCTCAGTCTGACCAGACTTTATAGGGGTTTTGATAACTTAAACAAAGTGGCTGAACACCAGCTTGGCCAAGCTGGCAGACCAACTGAGACAAACAAAACCTTTTAGGGTGTTTAAAGCAGAGTTTATGAATAAATTAAGTAATAAACAATGAAAAATCTGTCTGAACATTTGCTATTGTCTGTTTAAATAAAAGATGTAAATATGCTCTATTTTTGTACAAACACAGATGTACTGTGGCAATCTGGGATTACATACACTGTCGTTCAAAAGGTCAGTAAATTTCAGTCAAAAACAGTAATATTGTGAAATATTGTTACAATTTAAAATAACTTTTGTATTTAATTTTTTTATGTAACATGATCGTTAAGTAATCATTGATTCTAATATGATTTAGTACTTAAGAAATCTTTGTTATTACTAGAAGTTGAAAATGTTTGTTCTGCTTAATAAAGTGTGGAAAAAGTTTTTTCAGCACATACATTGTTAAAATTTCACTAGCAGGAGGAACAATGCAATAAACACATTTTTTAATGTCCTCCCGGATTCTGCTGTAGTTACAGCAGAAAGTTAATGGTACATGACCGGTGTAGGTATGTGTGCGTGTGGATAAAGCAGAACCCGATCATTCCCACGTCAGAGGAAATCCTTCAGCCTCTCTTCCTGTAATTACCCCTTCTATGCCCTCTCTCCAGACAGATATACAGATAAAGAGAGGAGATCTGCAGACTCACTTTTTGAAGACTAGAAGAGTTGAGCTGGGTCTTGTCTATGATTTTCACTGCTACCTGTGACAAAAGAAACACAAGCACATATTTAAACATCTCTCAAACACCTTAAAACAACAACAACAGAGTTACAAACAAACAGAGTTACACTAGAAAGATAACTTTGCTAACTAATGAAAGCTAACTGTGCTTGCTCCATATTAGCATGTTTCTTCAACTTTGAGCACTACGAGCGCATCCCAGGGTTGATTTTAATAAAACATTTCAACTTTTTTCTTTAGTTATACGAAAATCACATTAAAACTGGCTTGAACACTTTTCAAAATGCCTTCATTTATTTTGTTACTTGTTGAAATAAATCATAAACCTATTAAATATTTCCACAGTTCCCACAGTTGTGGTATAATTTTTACCCTACCAAACAATTTTGCTCTTAAGAAAGTTTAGTAAAGAGTTTAGCAAGAATGAAAAAGTATTAGAGAAGAGCATGCTTTAGATAAAATATGAAACATGTCAAAAAAGAGATAGAGGAAAAAAGCATATTTGATTATTTGTTTGTATCTCATTCAATTTGATTTTCTCACATCCAATCCAAACCACTATCATACGTGATTTGAAATTAGATTTCACTTCTGGGGCCAGTTGCATTAACACAGCTATTATAATATGTTAAGACTGTGTCTTAACTAGTCTGACCAACTAGCAGTTAGCCAAAGGATAAGTCGTACTTTCGTTCTCAAAATTAGACTTTTAAATTAAAAATTAATCTAAGCTTTTCAGCAACCGATTTAAAACAGTTATGACCAATCTTAGATGCCTAACTTGTAATACTTATCTAATCAGTTTATGCAACAGGCCCCTTGACATGTATCACAGTTAGACTGTGGCAATTTTGGACGCAACATGACTACCACAAGGCATAGTTGTAAGTTCAAATATCAAAACGGTCAACCCATTAAATAAGAGTACTACAAGTATCCACTATATGACTAACTAATAATTTGTTTTTAACTGTGCATTATCTAGAACAAATCAGAATTGTCTGCAATATGTGTTACAGGGAGGAGGGAGCTCATATAGCATGGACTCGTCTAACTAGATCCACTATACAGGAGACCTAGTTACCTCTTTAGAAGTGAGGACATGTCGGGCCAGTTTAACCTTGGCAAAGTTGCCCTTGCCGATGGTCTTCAGCAGTCGGTAATTTCCTATATGGGGGTTTTCATCCGCCGTCGGCACCACATTGCGAACACGCGGGACACTTGGACGCCCTCCTCCTTTGGCATCAGAGTGAGTCTGACAGAGAGATGGGATATAGGGATCAGAACAATGTTTCAGATGGTCAAACTCAGATGACACTCAAATTCAACTACATTCTCCCCCCTCACTTTCACACACTCAAACTTGCTGATAACTGTATCAGACTGATTCACAAGAGGAAAATATGGCAACAGTCACACAGCAGCAGGGCAGAATATTGCTCAGTCTTTTTGGAAAGCTAAATGCACGGTGACCATCACATCCTCTAACTGAAGTGAATACCTGACAATTAAGGGTTCAGAACCAGATCAGAAAGTTTGAGTGATATGTGAAGAATGAACAGAACTACAGCAAACATTTGAAGCAGCAGTTGGTGTGTGTTTTGACTGTTGTAAGAAGGCTCCCTGCAGTCATGGAAGATATGGCTACAGAAGTGTGCAATACTTACCGTTCAAAAGTTTGGGGTCACGGAACAGTACGTTTAAAAAATAAAAATAATATTAGTTTAATTCTGCAAGAATGCGTTCAATTGATTAAAAAGTGACAGAAAAGACAATTATAATGTTACAAAAGATTTATATTTCAAATAAACATGGTTATTTTGAACTTTCTATTCATCATTCTTGAATAAACTATCACTTATTTGTGTATCTTAGCAAGCAAATGAGTAGGCATAAGGCTCAGAGAAACACATGCGCACTCAAACTCGCTGGTTCCAAAGAGATGAATATTATGTAATGCATCACATGCACCATGTTAATGTATGACATTCTTCAGCATTGGTGAATACTCTCAATGTTCTTTTATTCTCAAACTCTGACCCAGCCTCCACACACACAGTTGTGAATCTTCTTTTTTCATTATTACTGATCATACGAAGTATTAAAAATGCAAAGCAAGACGTGAACTTGCATTGATCCCAAGTGGAGCACAACTCAACTTATTGGAGGATGTGCACTAACAGTTATGAATCTTTAATGGATAGTTGAGCCAAAAAAGAAAATTCTGTAATCCCATCGTCATGTTTTTCTAAACTTGTATGACTTCCATCAGCGGAACACAAAAGAAGACATTTCTTTTATGTTTTTTTTGTGTCCATACAATGGAAGTCAATGGTAGCCAAAACAGTTTGGTTATCAATAATCTTCAAAATATCATCTTTTGTGATCTGTAGATGAAAAAAAGTCATGGTAAGTAAATTATGACAGAATTTTCGGGTGAACTTTCCCTTTAATAACACTAATCGAGGGAAGAATTATGGGACAAGAGAGAGGAGGAGGCATAACCACATCAATCGTGAAGCATTTTAGTGAATGAAAAATCCTAATCTCATGAGACCTCACTCACTGCATTTTGGGATGGTTTCCAAAACACACAATATTCCCTTAACCCCACCAAATCGTCTCAATTGTCCTGTCCAAATAAAGATCAAATCCCAATTTCTCACATTACCCAATGAATGACACTGGAAAAACATACAGATCAGATTAGATTAGATTAGATTAGATTAGATTACAGTGGATTAGATTAGATTAAAACAGACGGGTCCATCTGCAAATACACAAACACGCGCAAATATGCTACGTGCTTCCCTATGTTTTCCTGTCTACATTAACGTAAGTAGCATCATGTTGCATTTATCATTATAATCTTTTCAGATGTTTCTCCATTTTGTACTCAAGTCAAGCGAAAGTGGACACAGAGCTCATTAAAGAGAAAGTTCAATCATCAAGAGGAACACAGCCAACTCCACGAGCTCTGTGGTGCGATGTGTGTGTGTGCGTGCAAACCACAGTTCACATATCCGAGCAGTGTACATCACAACAGCTCCGTCTTCTTCAAAGACCAACCGATCAAAGTTCAAAGCCATAAATGTAACATTTGACGTCAGCCCACTAAATGGTGCACACTCAGAGGTCTTTAAATGAAGATGCTCTTTATTTCTTTCCTCGTTTCACATGATGCCAATTTTGAAAGAGGGGCAGCTCAAGGGAAAGGCATGAGAAAGGCTGGCTGAAACAATACAGCAAAGCCACACTGTCTGTCTGAATGTGTATGTGTATTCATAGGTAAGCTGAGCCAAGAGCAGTACCAAAGGTCAGGGCATGGAAAGCAGGAGATTGACAGTGTGCTGACAAGAACAGAGGGGCAAGGACTTAAGGTATTAGAGGGCAAGTGTGCAGATATGCCTGGGGACTCAGATTTTAGATTTTAGACTTTGGTATGGCTTGTGTGTGCGCGTAGGCAAGGGAGTGCTGATACAGTATGCATAAAGGAGAACTCATATCAATACATCACTCATAAACAGCAATGAAGCACAATGCACTTTTACAATGGCACACTCCTTCCTAGCTAATCAAGCAGAACTTCACAGGAGACCTGACTCATTGCACATGCAAACATACTGTACGCATAAAGAAAAAAAAAGTGTATAAGCAAGTGTTATTCACAATTTAAAGCATAAACTCAGAACTCCAAAACCTAGGGAGCTGCCTGCCTAGATGACATTTAAGCATCAAAGCTGTACTAGTCTCGACACAAAGATTGTTCCAAATGTTTAATATCTGATTTTGGTAACATTTTGAGCCAGGTATCATCTGTGGAAAAGGCAATCCAACAATACACTGCAAAAGGACAGCTACAACTTTCATCTCAGATGGCAGACAAAAGTTTGAGACATTAAAATTAAGAAGATTTTGGAAATAAGTCTCTCACCAAGGCTGCATTTATTTGATCACAAATACAGTAACAACAGTAATATTGTGAAATGTTATTACAATCAAAAATAACTTATCTATTTTAAAATATAAATTATTCCTGTGATGGAAAATCTGAATTTTCAGCATCACTACTCCTGTCTTCAGTGTCCTTCAGAAATCATTCATAAATGCTAATTTGATTCTCAAGAAACATTTATTATACAATATTATAAATGTTGAAAACCGTTCTGGTGCTTTATATTTTTGAGGAAACATTCTTAAATAAACAGAAAGTTCAAAAGAACAGCATTTATTTGAAGTAGATTTGTTTCGTAACAATGTAAAAGTCTTTACTGTCACTTTTGATCAAATTAAAAGTATTAATTTCTTCAAGAAAAGTCTAACTGGTCGCAAACATTTTTAATGTAGTTGAGGGATTTAAAAAAAAAACATTTTCAGTAATGAACTAAAATAGTTATATCTAATTAAAGATAAACCATTTTTAATTAGCATTTGCATGTTGTATGAATTATTTGTTTTTAGCTTAGCAAAATGCTAACATCAATCCCTTCAGGAATCAAATGTGATCAAGTCTTTTTGTGAGTGTCACATGAGGAACTTGTGTGGCACGCATGAGTGACCCTTAATTGAGTAGCTTGACCTGACATAGGCTATAGTGTTTCAAATCAGTCACTTCCAAGTTCCATTTCATTTAAGATGTTTACTTAAAGGGACAGTTCACTCAAAAATGAAAATCCTGTCACCATTTACTCACCCATACAAACCTGTAGGACTTAGTTTCTTTTGTAGAACATGGAATGGAATTTAATGGAAGTCAATTGTTCTTCAAAATATTTTCTTGTGTTCTACAGAACAAAGTCAATCATGTTCAGAACAACATGAGGAAGAGTAGGCTAAATGATGGCAGGATTTTCGTTTTTGAGTGAACTATTCTTTTAAGGCAGAATAAACTTCCTATGTCCTTCCACCCTTCAATAAAAACAAATAACTTCTTGTTGCTTCAAATTGCTGACAGAATCAACCATCTCTTTAGAAGGTAACTGTCCATGTAGACCGCAGACAGTTCACTAGGATTTAGAACCGAATCGGGGAGTCTCAAAAGGGCTCATTTTTACATACTTCTACCTTACTATTAAAGAATCATCTAGGACGAAGGTCAGTCTGGGTAAAATAAAATGCACTTTTTTTTGCTCTTTTTCTGGGTCTTTCCCTTGCTCCATATCATCATCTATCTCTCCTTGTAATTACACCCTGCACAGACACAGACAGCAGTGAGGATAGGATAATGTTCTCCCTGACAACATGCTGTCTGTGGCGAATCTTTTTTAGGTTTACTGTCTGCGAGTCCTGCTCACTTCAGCGTTGAACCTTAAATACCACCTTCTCCGGCAGCTCTGAGATCCCGAGTTTAGCTGACACTGGTTCAGCTCAGTGGGAAGCTCAGGACAACTGATCAGACCCAGAAGCTGCTCTAAGTGCATCATATAGGTGCACAGCGAAGAATTCGGAGACTGGAACTGACGTTCATGGACCTGGTTATGAGTTTTAATCACTGATCTTCTAAACTTTCCTCAACAGTCTCTTTAAAAGAAAGTTGTATGAGTGAACCAGAGGCACCGGCACCCCTATAAACACAGATGCTGTAGTAGCTGTAAAGCATACTCTCCTGTTCAGTTTAAAAACACACACATGCACTCAATCCAGCGTGTCTTTGAAGAAGCAGTCAGTCACTGGGTCGTGATTGCAGCGTTGCCATGGAGATCTGTTGTTCATCCTCATGCCATCTTCTCTTTTCTTTACCTTTCTAAAGGACATGCTCCCTTTCTCTCTCTCTCTATTTCCCCCTTAACTTTTCTTCATCCTCTCCTTCTCATATGCTGTGGCTAAAGTGAAATTGGGCGTAATATTCCAATAACAGAGAGTGAAGCCCATCTCTGTCTAGAAAAAGAGAAACTATTTTTCAACACACACAGATGCGGTCATACACGCCCAGAAAGCGACAGTCACGATGAAGAACTATAAATACTTCACCACCTACTCATACACAATCTCTCTTCCTCTCTTTCACACTCACTCGCGCACACACACACACACTTTCTCTACAAAATTTGTTTTTTGTGAACCTCAATCCCATAATGGTTCTAACTACATATTAAACAAAACCATACTATTTTTGAATGAGTACCAGTAACTTTAACTATACGTTATATATAAACATCCAGACAATTAACAAGTCAAATTCAGCAAACATTCTGACTGCTTCTGTGATTAATGCGTTAGACTGATCCAAACTGTTAAAGTCGCAATGAAACGAAG